GGGATTGAAATGGTCTCTCTGTGTGCCCCAGCCTGGGGTTGAACTCTCAGTCTCCTAAGTCTGTCTTGCAGGTGCTAGGACTAAAGGTGTACTCCACTATGTCTGGTATTGTGATTTCTTTTCATATTGAAATTGTTTCTTCTGCCTAGAGTACATTTTACATTTAGGATTCAAGAAATGTGGAATAATTTCCCATTAAAGTGATAAAAGACAAACGACGATAGAGTAAAGTCTGAGTTTTCTATTTTAGAAGCAGTCTCAAGGATTTGTTTCCAGATTAAATTTTGTTGTATTATATTTTGTTGAATTATAATTGGGAAAAAGTTTTAGAGAATGTTGTGATTAAAATAAGAGAATATTTAGGAAGTAACTAGACAGTCTTTAAAAAGTGAGTTTCTGTAGTTTGACTGTCACATGGGTATCTATTGTGTACCAGTTGGTTCACAGTTGACTTAGAGTTTATAGAGATTTGATGAACATGACTTGGCTTCACGGTAGAGGAGCTGTTTTATTCAAGTCCATCCCACACTCCAAAGACAGGATGAGGTTTGTTTCTGTGTTCTGTTTCCAAGTCTTCTTGATTTTCTTTAGAAGCAGCCCTGAAAGTATAGTATCTGTAAGATTTTTTATGAAATAATTCAATGTAAGGAAGTTTATTCAGAACATATTATATAGGTTTTGCCATTAACACTTTTTAAACTTGTAAAGGTACCTTTCATACTAGTGAACATTGTAGTTGACATTTCACAGAGAAAAGGAAAAGCCTGAGACTGAGTTGTAAACACAGAAGAGCCTCATACTTGAATATGCACACAAATCAACTGACCATTTTACAGTCAAAATGCAGACTTTACTAGACTGGGTTCGTGATGAAGCCCATGATTGCGCATCCCTTTGCTCTGCTGGGAAGTGCTGGTTTGACAATTGGGCCATAGTTTGAGCAGAGAAGCCGTAGTGCACAGTGAAAGGAGTCTCTTGGTTATCATCTCTGGGTTGCTCTTCACTTCTCATTTGATGAGAGCCTTAAATAACTGCACGTAATTTATTATTTGTGTTTGACATTACTGCTTTGGTATACTGCGATTCATTATTGATTAGAACACTGCTTTTAAAAACAGCTTTAACAATGTTCTGTGGCACACACACTACCTACACCTTTAAACATTGTTTTGCTTTCTTCATTTGTGTTTGGTTTTTAATGTTTTGACAGTGACAGCCCAGGCAAATCTCAAACTTACTATGTAGTAGAGGCTGGCCTTGAACTGTTGCCTCTATCTCTCATGTGCTGAGATTACAGGCCTGTGCCACCATGCCTACTTCTATGTCAGTTTAAAGGCATATGGTATAGAAATAGATAAATTTAAACTTGATTTTTAGATAATGTGAGTTGTCTAACATGTTTAGAGGTAAAATATACAGAATCTTCTTCAGCAGTGCTTAGCCCTTCTGGTATTTATTTGTGTTTTATGGATTTCTTTTATACAATATATTGCCTAACTATAACTTGGATGTCCACTTTTTCACTGGACTTGTTTTGTTTAGGAATTAATTTGCTTTGAAAAATCATTAATGGTTCTTAAAAATAATTTAATATTTATAAAGGTTTGGAAGATTCTAAAGAGCTACTCCAAATAATTTTGCTAATTTATATATAATATCTGAGGTACATTTTTAATACATTTTACCTCTTCAATTTTTGTGAAGATTTGAAGCTACTTTTGGGGAGTATTTTGTTACTGTCTTTTATTTGCTTATTTGTTATTTTAGCTATGTATACTTGTCCTTAATGTATTTTGTCAGCAACCTGTTTTCTGCTTGAATATTTGTTGTTTTTCATGAGCTTAATAAAAGCACCAAAAGACTTCTACTTATGGTAATAGGAACTGAGCATTCACTCAGAAGTTCTCAAAGATACAAGTCAGGGTATGACAAGTATTTTCTTCAGAGGCCTAGATAGCAATGTGGTATCTTACACATTATTTTCCCTAAGAAGCCTTGAAAATTAAAACTGCTTGTCAGCTAATACCAGAGCTGTACTTGTAATGTACTTGTAATGCCCCTGCCTGTACTTGGCCTGTAGGTTGTAGTGTGCCAGTCTTAACCTCTCTAGATGGGATGGCAACTGATGAGACTCCAGTAGATACACAACACCTTCAGCCTAAAACTCACAGGCTGACAGTTACCATTTTAAAGCAGATTTTGTATATTTAATGAAAGAAATGATATTCTACTTTTAAGATTTAGGTTACAGAATATGTATTTTTATCAGAACATTTCTTGCTAATTTTAAAAAGCATAGTATCTTGTCAGTATATAATGATTAATAGATTGTGTGTGCTTGCGTGTGTGTGTGTTTGTGTGTTTGTACTTGCACGTGCACGCTTTTTGCCCACTTTGAGACAGGGTCTTGCTGTGTTGCCCAGACTATTCTGGAACTCATGTACTCACGTGACTCCTCTGCCTCTCACCCCCAGTTCCTAGGACTACAGATGTGTGGCACTGTGCCAAACTGGCTTTTGTCCTTTAGTCCTTTCAGTCTATCACCCCTCTGAAAGGATGAAGGAGATACTTTTTTGCTGGTGTTCTAGTGTGTGACCTTGATATTTCTAGTATAAGGGTGCTAGTTCACATTTATCAAGGCACTTAGTAATTGACAACTTTTTCTAAGAAAGTCTGTTGCAACTGAAATACAGACATCTTGGGAAAGACTGTGAATTTGCCAGGCTGCTAAAACCAAAAGTTGGCATGTGCTTATGTCAGGTGAGGACAAGCAGGGTTTTCAGAAGGGCTGGTCTAACCTTTTTACATTTGCTGCTCTCAGTTTGAGCAGTGTAGAAAGTTTTCAAACTTAAAAATCACCCAATACTGATTAATTTCTTGATTTGTAGTTACTTTCTAGAGATATGAAATTAGTTGATAGAAGGCATTTCTGAAAGAAATCTTATCATAAAGCTATTCAAGAAAGCAAAACAATTTTTAAAACCTCAGATGCCATGAAATTGTTTGACCTTTGTGAGTTGGAAGTGGACAGTTATTGAACAGCTGCTGTGTTGTTATACTACAGTCGCTCTTGAGATGGATTATAGGTTGATGGAGTTTCTTGGGAAAAAATCCGGAACACGAGGTTGATACTGAGAGATATGACTGGTTTCTCCATTCCCTGCCCTCAGAAAGCTGGTTCCTTGCATCTGTTGAGTCATAGCTGATGCTACATGTATATCTCATCCCCTTGACAGATTTCTGCAAGTGTTACAGATTCAACAGGAATACAATACTTAATAAATTATAGTCGTACTGAGACAGATAGAGAGTATTACTTGTTGACAAGTCACTACAGGGGTGCTCTATTTCCGTAGCCTCAGCCTTCTGTGAGTTGAAAACATCTCTTTGTTTAAAAAGGAATTATATACTTATACTTGGATATTCTTGATTACATATAGATATTTTTATTTGCCCTTAGAGTTACTGTCACTTGAAAGTGTTCAAATGTGGTGGTATGTCATATCCTCAAGGATACATCACTGTTTTCTTATGGGTTAAGCAATTAGTCATAACTGCCTTATTTTCAAAAATTAATTCAAAGCTTGCAATAATCAATCAATATTCCATAGTCTAAGGATGTAGCTAATGTAGTATTAGAAGTAAGAGCCAGAGCTGGTGGTGGGCAAGGAGAAGTAACCCTGTTCTCAAGTCTCTTGATATCAGTGTGAAAGTTTATTTTCAAGGAACAACTAAGTATGCAAAATGTGGTAAATAACTTTTAAAAATGAATTTAAATTTCATATTCATAAAGCTAAGAAAGAAAGTTTTTCAGTTGTAAATATTTCTTGGTTTTGATTTTCTTGGCTACTGAGATCTTAATGCTGAATTCCTGGTGATGGGTGGTTGTCTCTTTTAATTATTGGCTTCCAATTCTCTCTCTGCATTGCTGGAAACACCAATCATTACAGTCTGAGTTGGTGATGGGGATGCTTTCTCTCAAGGAGCAGACACATCAAACTGATTTGGAAGTGTGTCACAATCAAACTGCGTCTGTTAAATGAGAGGACAAAGACCCTCTCTGGCCTCCTTTCGTAGCACATTGACTTTTACAGTGACGTTGAACTTTTTTCAAAAAGAAGGAATATTTACATTCTTTAAGATTTTAAGAAAATATGAGCTTTGCCTGGTTTGTCTCTTTCTATAAAGAAATGTGTAAATATTTGGAGAATTTTTCATTGGCTTTTAAATTAAAAAAGAATAATTATTTATGAAATATAAGTTGACGAGTCATACTCTAAATACTTTAAATACTTCGCAAGTCACTTGTCGTAAATGACTTATGTAATGCGGGCATTTGAGACAGGATAGTAAGTGGGTGAGTGAAGCTCTTTTGTCTTGAGGGTGAATGATGAACCACTAAGAACCCGTACACTCAGACACAAGTAGGGGTTTGTTTAAAAGGCCGACAGTTAATGATTGTTAACAGTTGAAAAGTTTTTCTTTCTTGGTAGGATAAGCAGCATATTAAATTGATTCCATTAAAATAAAATAATGTTGGGTTGCTGGCGAGGTGGCTCAGGGGTTAAGAGTGCTGGTTGCTCTGAAGAGGACCTGGCTTTGGTTCCTACCTCCTACTTGGGTAGCTGGCATCTACCAGTTACTCCAGCTCCAGATCATCTGGTGCCGCCTTCTGGTCTCCAAAGGTACCTGTACGTATACACACAGACACACACACAAACACACACACACACACACGCACGCACGCACGCACAAATTTTTAAAGAACATTTTTTTCCTGGGGGTATACTTTTTATTATTAGAAAATAGTTAATACTATGAAAAATACTTTGAAAATAATAAAAAAAAAACTTTAAATTTTTTTCACTGTATGGTACACAATGATATGGAATCATTATTTATTATTAAATGCCTCCTTTGCTGAAACTAAATTTTCAAAAGTAGAACACATAAATTAAAAGAGAAGGCATAGAGCAGCATGTCCGAACAGTGCTCTGCAGGCTGTTTGAAACTTGTACAAGGAGGCGTGTATTGCTCCTATTTTATATATTTCAAATGGTTTGTGAGCCTTTCTTGTTTTGGTAAATGACCCCTGTTTCACTTCTCATTTAAATATTGTAATTTCCCATTCACTGTGGTAGCAGTCTCAGATGAAATTAGGGACCTAGAAATTGACTAGAAACTATCTAATTGAAGATGAAACTGGGGGTCATATAAGAGTATCTAGACTCTCTTTGGTTAGGACATGGATTTTTGGGTTTGGTTTTAACAAGGCCTCATGTTCCTAGTCTGCCTTTCACTCTGCTTCCCCACTGGGTAAAAAGGTGGGCATCAGTGGCGGATGGCAGTCACAGTCTTCCCTTTATCCAAGGAAAGTCTTAGCTTTTCCTAATTGCAGTTCATCACATTTAAATTATTGTATCAAGAAACATACATGTGGCCGGGCAGTGGTGGCTCACGCCTTTAATCCCAGCACTTGGGAGGCAGAGGCAGGTGGATTTCTGAGTTCGAGGCCAGCCTGGTCTACAGAGTGAGTTCCAGGACAGCCCGGGCTACACAGAGAAGCCCTGTCTCGAAAAACCAAAAAGAAAAAAAAAAAAAAGAAGAAGCATACATCTATAGTTAGGCTTTTCTTTTAAAGTCTTAATTCTAAAAAAAAGTAAACATTTTTTTAGAACAAACCAGGTTCTAGCTCATTTTAACGCTTCATTCTCAATTTTATTCAATCTGATATCTCCTTTATAAAAAACAACAAATTTTTAACTGTAAAGCTCATAATTCAAAGGTCTTACACATGGCTATCCCAGTAAATTATTCTTCCAAATGAAACAGACTTTAAAGAAGTTGTGTTTTACAATGCAGAGAGTGGAGGATGCTTTTTATACATTGGTGAGAGAGATCCGACAGTACAGATTGAAAAAAATCAGCAAAGAAGAAAAGACTCCTGGCTGTGTGAAAATTAAAAAATGCGTTATAATGTAATCTGGTAAGTTGAGCATATTCATTTTGGTACAAAGCAGATGTCTTTCAAAGGTAACAAAGCAGACCCACTTAGACGTGGTATTCTGCTTTGAAGTGTTAAAAGATAAGAAACTTGTCATTTGTTTCTGTAATGAGCACATTAATTTTAAATGTATTATATAATTGACCCTTTTTGATGACTACAGTAGACTAATAAGCTGTATTGACTTCATTAGTTTTAAGTATTTTAAACATTTGAAACTGATAATTTATTTTCAAGGGAAATCAGATTTAAGTTTTAAGATAACCAGCAGTTTTTAAGTAAAAAATATATAGTAATAATAATAATATGGCCCAGAGGTAGGAAAGGCCTAACAAGGCATGCTCCTGTACCCATGTAGAAGCAATTATAGATTCCTATGCTATGGCTTTGTCTCATTATTACATTATTATTGACTTCTCCTTTGCTATTTACTTGTAGCTGATGTCATTCCCTGTACTGGCTGCTTCACAGGAATGCCAGTCTCTTACTGGTAAACCTAGTCACTGATTTACACAGTGAGCACACGATCAGTATCTCTAAAACAATATCACCGTGCCCATTTTGTCTGTACACAGACATTACTTCTGTCTTCCCTGTAGTCCTGCATCTTGTTTGGATCACTAGGATTCCCAGCCCGAGTTGGTTAATCAGCTAACATGTGATTCTCTCATTATAAGAATCTCTGCAGTCCCTTAAAATGGCCATTGTGGCTTTGTGTATTTCCAATATATTATTTTTAACTATATGGCTTCCTGTGTTGCACTGAAATATGTGTCATTTCTTTATTAGACCACAGAATCCTAGAGAGCTGGACCATATGATTTATCTTTGTGTGCCCATTGCATGTTGAGATTCTAGCATATAGGTACTTCTTAAAAAGATTGAGTGGACCCTGGCTTTCCTGTCTAAATTAACCCTGATTATATTTTGTCTAACTCAGCAAATTCTTCACTCAGTGAGGTGATAAAATCTCATGTTGAAGTTTGTGCTTTTGCTGGAGGCTGATGTAATGTATGTGTTCCGTGAGGACATGACACAACCACAGTGTTTAGAATTACTATGTAGATGCAGAAGCAGTGGGCAGTACTTGCAGGGATTCTAATGGGATTATGAACTCTTAAAACTTTTATGATTGGGTAAAACCATACTTTAGTGTTAGAAACTGTGGTATACTTTAACATTAAAATGCAATTTGTAAAGTTAAACTTAACTTAATGAAATAATAGCCATGGCTAGATTAAAATGGTAATTTTAACCCTGTCCCCCTTTCTATGGCCTCCCTCTTGGATGATTTTAAAGTAGAACAATATTTAGAGAGTGTGGTACACTTTACATTCAAGCAGACGCTGAAGCACTCTGCTCTGAGTGTCTACATTACACAGTTTGCAGCAGTGACTGCTGTAACTGTTAGTAATGGATTCTATTCATTGAACCACTGATTTTAGTGCATATAGCACTTTCTACGTAAAGAAAAAGTGTATCTTATGATATTTAAAATTATAGTGAGATAAATAAAGTTTGTATTTGATAGTGATAAACATATACAAATTAGGTTTTTTTTAATCATTCTAGGAAAGGGGTAAGTCTAAACAAAATAATTACAGAATGTGGGATGCTCCTTTATGAGAATCAGTTCCCAGGAGAACAAGGAGTCCACTGCCCTTGTACAAAAGCTGAACATTTCTCTAACATCAAAGTCATCTAATTAGAATTAATGTACCTGGGGACTCACATACTGTCAGAACTTGACAAGAGGGCAAATGCTGTCAAATGCTGCCTTCCATGTCTCCTAAATGGTTGTATATTATTCCATCTTAAAAATTGTCTTACAGATATCTTTCTCAGGATTTTTATTTTTCTGTATCATTGTTTTAGTATCACTGGTATTTTTCTTCACTGTAAAAATAGTTGGAGGGCCAATGAGACGGCTCTCAAGACTGAGGACCTGAGTTTGATCGGTCCTTCAGATCCGCTATGGTGGGAGGAGAGGACCTTAAGTTGTCTTCTGATCTTCATACATGTGCCATGGCAAGAACACAAACAGAAAAGTAAATGGATGTAATTTTTTAAAAAGATGATGAAATGGATACCATGATGTGTGATCCAAGGGAATTGATGACGGATAAGGGACTTAGGTACGACTCCATCTCAGGGGAGCATCTGAGAGAGAGTTCTCTTCAGTGAATATGCTAATGAGAATATGCCTGCTTGCTGCACAAACATGAACACTGAGTTCAAATCCCTACAACTCAGGTAAACAGCCAGCCAGAAAATGCCTGTAATCCCAGTACTGGGGCAGGGGCCAGAAGTAACTGGTGGAGTGTGCTGGTTACGGCTTAGCTCCAGTTTCACTGAGATACTGTACCTCAGGGGAAGGAGGTTGGGAGTGACGGAGTAAGACTCCCAGTGTCCTGTTCTGGCCTCCACTTAAATGTACAGGTCCCCCACCACACACCCTCACACCCACACCCTCGAACACACACCCGCGAACACACACACACACACACACAAACACACACACACACACACACACACACACACACACAGGCAGACAGAAGATACTATCCTATTCCAAGTGTCTGTGTCCCTAAGTCATACAGTGCTGCTGAATTATAGTACTTTTAATTATGTCATTGAAAGAGTTTCTCACTGTGTGTTAAGGATAGCACAGAAGGGAATGTCTGTCTTCTGTATCTGAGTGGACCTCACAGTCTAGTTAGGCCTTGACTGTATTGCTTGTGTTGTATCAGTAATGGATTTCAGGGGGTGAAAAGCACCAAGGAGTGCAGATCGGGGGTTTGGGGCAGTATACATTTATTCCCTCATACTCAGATAGCTGACACTGTGACCCAGTTTCTGTTAGATGTGAGCCAGCCTCACTGCTGCTGTCCATTGTTAACAGCACTGGTCAGGCTTTCCTGGATTAGAGAACTGTTGTCAAAATGAGTTATCTGTAAAAACTCGGAATAAAGTATGTAAGTACTTATTTTGAAATTACAAAAGATCTTAGTAATATGGTAAAGGAAAAATCTTGGCACTTAGGATATTCAATTATTTTGAAGATAATGTGTTTAACATAGGGTGCTTAAATGTATATTATGCTACTTGCACAATTCATAATACTGAAACAGGTAATTACAAGAGTGAAGACCCAGTGTGCCATTACTTTTATTTTTTTATTTTTGTTTTTTAAAGAGGACCAGCCTCTTCTTTAAAAAAAAAAAAAGATTTATTTATCTCATTTATTTGGGTACACTGTCGCTGTCTTCATACCATTACTTTTAAAGTAGCTTAGGTTTGTAGGCTATTTGTTCTCCAGATTCCCTCTAAGTATCTAGATTTGGAAGCATTAATAGGTTAAAATTTCTCTCAGTACTTTCTACTAGGATGAATGGACGAAATAAAGCACGGCCACTTTTTTCTTCAGCTTCACTTTGACTCTAGTGTGAACTTGTGATTGAAGGTCTAACGTTGGTTCTTCAAGCTCCTACGTCTTAGAGTGCGCTTGTCATGCCAGGGTTTAGGAGCTTGAGAATTACTCTGACTGAATCAGTTTTAGTCACAACTTATTTAGGTGTTTTGCTTTAATGACACATAGGTGTAGGTTTTAATGACTAATGTTGGATGTTCTTTGAAGACAGGTATTTATATGACAAATTTTGAATAAACAGTACAGTACAGCGGTAATAAGAGAATTCTGGTGGGTGGTCAAGTACACCCCGGGTCAGATGATTCACTCATCACCAGAGGTCAGGGGCATCATAGCTTTTAAGGTACCAGTATCTTACAGATAATGTAGCTTACTGTCTAAAGTTCAGAAACTTGGGGGACAATTAAGTTTTATGTATACAAAGGCACATCTACCATACATGGAGGCAGGCATGGGCAGTTGAATGGCTACGTTTTCTAGTAGAGAAAAATTAGTAGAAATCAGGTCCTTTTGGGAAAAAAGTCATTTTCTAAACTTATATATTGTGCACCACTTACTGTATTGCCTGTTGTGAAAGTCAGGGTTGCTATTTAAAATATCAGCATAGCAGAGCTGGGGAATGGCTTAGTGGTTAAGAGCACCCAGCACCCAGCTGACAGTTGTCAGTAACTCCTGTCCCTGGGGATCTAATGTCCTGTTCGGGCCTCCGTTGGGCACTGTACTCATGTGGTACAGACATACATACAAGGCAAAATACTCCTACCATAAAATAAAGTTGTTTTAAATGTCAGGTATTTTGCTTTGAAAGAAAGAGTAACTTGAAATAATAATTATTATTATTTTGAAATTATTATTTTGAAATTACCAACTATCTAAATTACTAAATGTCAGGTATTTTGTTAGGTATTTTAATACCTAAATGTAGAAAATAACTTAAATTTAGATAATAATTTAAAATTTTAAAAATGTCAGAATTTCCATGAAGAGATATATTCTAAAGAATCCTTAAACCCATTCGGTTGACAGAACATCAGGCTAAAAGGGAACTACTCTCTGAGTATACTCCAGCTTCCAGTAACAACAAACGTCTGTCTCTGAGCATATTAAGCCGTCGTGTATTAACATAGTCTACATATACTTTTTTTTTATATATTTCAGGGTGTTGATGATGCCTTCTATACATTAGTCCGAGAAATTCGAAAACATAAAGAAAAGATGAGCAAAGATGGGAAAAAGAAGAAGAAGAAGTCAAGGACAAGGTGTATAGTTATGTGAATAGTTTGTACTCTTTCTTAAGGCACACTTAAGTAAAAGTGTGATTTTTGTACATTACACTAAATTATTAGCATTTGTTTTAGCATTACCTAATCTTTTTTCCTGTTCGTGCAAACTGTCAGCTGTTATCTTAAATGCTTATTTTCAAAGGACAGTGGAAACCTTCTTTTCTCTAAGTGCCAGTATTCCCTGGGTTTTGGACTTAAACTAGCAATGCCTGTGGAAGAGACTAAAGACCCGAGACTCTGTCTTGGGGTTTTGGTGCATGCAGTTGATTCCTCGCTAGTTCTCTTACCAACTGTGAGCATCGGTGTGAACCAGAACAATGAAGCTTTTGAACCATCCCTGCTCTGTGTTCCATCTGGTCATCAATGGATTCATTAGTAATTACAGCTTCATGTGAGACCTTGTGGTTGGTTCTCCTAAGACTAAGGGATCACAGACTTATGGGCTTCCCTTTGATTCACTTCCAGCATGTCCTAGAGTTTATCATCCTTCATTAGTGTAGTTAGACTGTTCACAAAGGCTTTCTCTAGCTTTCCACTGCTATTAATCTTGGTCACTCCCCCAAATAGTATATTTTTTCTAGAAAAGGGGAAAAATGAAAAAAAAAAAAGGCAATGGAAAACATTGAAACCAATTCAATTTCCATGTTAGCTAAATTACTGTAAGGTTCCTATAATAGCTTTTCCTGGTAAGGCAGACCCAGTATGAAATAGTAACCATTTGGGCTATATGTACATGCTACTAAATTTTTGTGATAATTCAAACAACTTTAACATATATAAAAAGTTCTCATAAGAATTAAGTACACTTCCCCTTTGTCAGATTGTTTTTAACTTTCAAGTCTTTTTTGAATTTGTTGTTGAAAGTAGTTTTAATGGTTGTGAAGCTGAAGATGAATTGAGACAGTCACAGCTTAGCAGGTGTCGAGGAGACCAGAGTTGCGGGGTTGGGCCTTCCAGGACCCCGGGATGAACGAACGCTGCTGGGTTTTGCAGCAGTGCTGTGCTCAGTGTTGGCCGTGCATTGTTTGGCCAGCATGGGGGAGGAGGAAAGTTGAATGGCTTAGTACAATGCATTCTCACCATGTAACAGTCCTACTGACAAATCAAGGAAATGTCTTTTGTTTATAATAATAAAAAACAATTTAAAATAAATTTTGATGTTCACTTTAAGGTTGAGACTTTGGGGTAGGAGGCTACAAGGAGAGTAAATCTTAACACTGAAGTAAGGAAGTCTGAAATTGCAGGTTTGACTAGTCTCTCAACTCTAGCTGAACAAACATTGGCTGAGTACTCCTCAAATCTGATAGGTATTTAAAATTATCTAATGCTTTAAGAATAGATAACAGGAAAAACAGTCTCTTCAATGCACTTAAAGCATTCCTTCAAATAATTTGAAATGAGATGGAAGTATCACTGGACTATGAGGACTGGATATCTGTCTGTTAGAAGTCTGATTTTAAGCAAATCACTGTCTGCTTAGTGTTGAATCATCTCAAAGATGCTAACTTCACAGCTGTGTAACAACATATAGTCAGTTTACATGCTGACACACCTAGTTGTCAAGCTCAGCACAATCTGTAACTGTTTTACCTGGATTAACATCTTCACTGCCAGTCTTGGGCAAATTGTGCAAGAGGTAACATTTATATTTCAGTATCCATTCTCCAGCTTCAGGACTCCCCTCCAACATTACACTGGCTTTCAGCCTGTCTCCCACATGCCCGTGACTTAGTGTAGTTTTAATAATTTCCCAGCACTTCAAACTTGGTTTTTGCTATGGAAAACTTCATGAATGTCGCCCACTAAGGTAGGTATGTCAAAGCTGCCCTGTTGCTTTCTTCCCCAGAATTTAAAATAACAGACACCAAGTGAGATTTGAATTAATAGCTGGTTTTCAGGGCCACTACAGCAACTGACTCTCAATCCTTTGGACTTCATTCTTGCTGCCCAGTTTACTGGTGCCTCAGTAGGGATTTTCAGATTTAGTGTGAACAGAGAGAACACAGTCCAGTAGAAGGTGAGCTTACTCTTCATCTAGCCATTATCCTGGTAAGTGATAGATTCTGTTGAAAAGCACGTCAAAGTTCCAATCATAAAACTTTTTTAAAAATTATTTACTCAGCATTTATTCAGTGCTTGTCATATTTTGGGCATTACACTATGCACTGGGGGTGCGGTATCCTCAAGAACGGACACCATCCTTGGCTAGTGGCATGTAGCACGATCTGTATACTAAGTAAGGCATATGGCATATGACTTAGACATAATGAAATACGTGATTTTAGTTTTGCAGAGAGGGGTTTGGGTTCATACAATTTTTCTTCCTTAGTTTAGCAAAAATTATTTTCTGTGAGTCCAATGCAACTTTTAAATCAAACTACTTTATATAATTACTTCATTTTTTAAAGGAACAGAAATCCCCTACCCCTAATCTACTTTTTTGACATATTCTAAACTGTACAAGTTCATAGAACATTTTTTGGGTGGATTTTAAGTCTTAGTAATACCTCTAATTTCTATATAGAGGAACAGGTGTACTTCAAGAGCTGCAGTGTATAATCAGATATTTTTAATATTTCTGGGCAATGTGTTAAAGTAGTGGTAATTACCACTATGTAAATTTTGAATTGTGTTACACTTTGGTTAACAAAAGGGTTTTGTATTGTTGGGGTTTTTTTTGTTTGCTTAAAGGGGAAAGAATCCTAGAAACAAACGTTATCTAGTTAGTTACTGCAGCCTTAAAGTCCTTGTTGAAGTTGAAAACCAATGCTAAGTTACAGTCATAGGCATTAACATGTTAGTGGGAAGAATACAGCAGGCAAATACAACTTGAGTAAATATTTTCAATAGGGAATTCTAGGCTCTACTGACTGAGTCACACTGCATAGGAATCTAGATCCTAACTTTTATAGGTTATCAAAACCTTTGCCACCATTGCACAATTTTATCATAACATACATACAAGATCTGTGAGGCATGTCATAAGTTACAGTTTGCACAAATTCATCTCATTTTGTATTCCACTGATTTTCCATTTTCATATATATATATATATGTATACATATATATATGAAGGGTTTTTTTGTAGGCAATAAAAATTTAATTTCCATTTGTTAAAAAAGTTTTGTGTAGTCATTTTTTAAAACCCAAGTTATTCAAAGGTGAATTTATACTTAATAACTTCTGTGTAATACCTGGGTAGCATGAATTCTGCATTGAAAAATTGAACAGATATACCCAATAGCTGTAAATTCTGTCAAAACATGAAAGTTATTTCTAAAGAAGTACATTAGTTTTCAAAGACTAGTTATTAATTAGATTCAGATTTGTGGTTTAGTCCAATAGTTTGAAGTGCCTGTTTGGGATGGTGGTAGGCATTTTAGATGAATTTTGAAAAATAAAGTTCTGTAAAAATGCCAGTTCAGACTCACCCCAACCAGCTGAATGGGATATGTGCTGTTTTCGTTCCAGGCCCCCAATTCCACTGTCTCATGTCTTCATGTTGAAAACACTTCTACATTTTTATTTGAGTGCCAATTTCTTACTAGTGCTATTTCTTACTGTATCACGTTTCCCTGGAATGTATTTTAACTATTTTTGTAGAGTGTAAACTGAAACATGCATATTTTGTACATTGTGCTTTTCTTCCTTCCATTCCTTTTCTTTTTTTCCTCTTTGTTTTGTTTGTTGTTTGTTGTGGGACATATGCAGTGTGATCCAGTTGTTTTCCATCCTTTGGTTGCGCTGACCTAGGGAATGTTGGTCATATCAAACATTAAATTTAAAAATGACCACTCTTAATTAAAATTAACTTTTAAATGTTCATAGGAGTACGTGCTGTGAAATGATCTGAAATTTGTAATATTTTTGTCATGAACCGTACTGCTCCTAATCATTGTAATGTAATAAAAATAGTTATGGTGACTATAAGTGTGTAATTATGTAGTTTTAATTGTGGTTAAGGCTCAGATTCAGAGCCTCACATGTTTGTTAGGCAAGTACTTCACACTGAGCCTCACCCCCATCCTGACTATAGGTATTTCTTGATGGACATTTGGAATGTCTGCCTGGTAGTTGATATAGAATCCTTTAAGATTTCAAGATGTTTTTGTTTATTTTATTTATGTGAGTACACTATAGCTGTGTTCAGACACACCAGAAGAGGGCATCAGATCCTATTACAGATGCCTGTGAGCCACCATGTGGTTGCTGGGAATTGATCTTAGGACCTCTGGAAAACCAGCTAGTGTTTTAACCACTGAGCCATCTCTCCAGCCTGATACAGAATCCTTTAAGCGACACTATTGCAGCTTTTAAGTTAGAAATGTTCTTTATTTATAAAGTTGCTAAGAACATTACATAAACATTTAAGTGTTTGCTTAAACTTATAGTCCTATCTGGGTTAGGTCTGCTGTCACATGAACTTGGTTACAGGTAGACACAAAATATACCAGCTTTAATGGCAGAAACAGAGGAACATTACCACTCCTCCTGAAAGCTAGTTGAAGTGATTCCAAACTTAAGGCAGGCCAGCAGCCCAAAGAATAATGGGAATAACAGCCACATAATGCTAGTCGCCTGCTGAGCATCTCAAGATCAAAGTCACCTTCACATGTCTTATTTTGATAACTGCATTTAAATCATTTGAGGTGTCTGAAGAGAGTCTTGAATATGCACTTCAGTATACTAGATGGGGTAACAAGAAAAAACAAAGACAAGCTAAAGGGCAAGCCTGTCAAGCACCATTTGCTAATGGCAATCTCATTAGTAAATGAAGAAATAGACTAAAAATAATTGGATATAACATGTTGAAAAATTATGTGTAGTTTCTTTCAAAATTGTATTTTCATGAAAGGTGCTAAAGTTACTATTTCAATAATAAAAGGATTATGGGCAGAGCTCTCAGTATCAATAAGGTCGAAACCTACAGTTGTACAGTATGGCAACTTGTTTTTTAAAAACATGTATCTTGCTCTTTTAAATTGAATTACTTTATAATAGTTGGTACAGGCAAACAGCTGGCATTGATTGTCAGCTAGGCTGGTGGCAATGAGTGGTCAGTTTTTGGTATCTGAATAGTAACGCTGCTTCATAGCTCTGTATTTTCTAAGGAAGTATAAGGCCTCAAGCTCCTTCATTACAAATTCTCCTCGTGCAATAAGTTCTTTGATCTTCTCTGGGTCCTTCACATCCTTGTTTTTAAGGAAAACGTTCTTCAAACGCCTTTTAAAATAGTCTGCTCCTTTTGGATAGTCCCGTCCAAGATACAGCAGCTTTAAAAAGAAAGACACGTTTCTAAGCAACCCTTGTTATATAATAACGTTCATAAAGTTGGCAGCATCAATTACTTACATTTTTATAAAGAGCCAGTACTTCTCCTCGTAAAGAATTGGCCATTTTCACTTAACATGGAATTAATCCACTTTTATACATGACATACCTAAAGAAAAGGAAGATTTTTTTTCTTGCAAATAACTGCATTGTAATCTTAAAGAATGTAAGATCTTAGCATTGGTGAAATGGTAAGCTGGTTTTTCATCGTGTACAGGCATGCACTTGCCACAGTATGCATGTGGAGGCCATGACCTCAGATGTCAGTCCTTTCCACAGAATTTGAGATGGTTTTAGTTGTTGCTGCAAATGGCTGGCCCTTTGTTTAGGGATCATCTCTGCTTCTCATCTCCCTGTATATACACTGGGATTACAAACTCGCAGGTCTACACAATCCTCTTGTTTGTGCAAGGGCTTTACCATTAAGACCTCTTATCCTCCAAAATGGTAATTTGTGCTGAGAGCTTGTTTTTGAGGCACCGGGGTAACACTACTTTTCTAAGCCTGTTTTCCTTACTAAAAGTAAAGCTGTCTACCCTGCTCTGACGGCTTGGCTTGATTATTTGGAAGAAACTAAAAGTCCAAATCTAGAAGAGTATTCTCGGAGGAAAGTTAAAAACTAAAATAAATTGGGATGGAAGATCAAAAAGGTTGGCCCATAAGGAGGATGTACAGTGAAGGGCAGAGGGTAAAGGATCCCACAGGAAACAGCATCCGTGCTGCCGACCACGCTTTTATGATTAGGTACTTTAGCTACTAAGGATAGGAGCTTGGGAAAAGCCTCATTAGACCAAACCTAAAAAATATTCCCGCTGAGTTCCACCCATTACAGCTGATGATAGTTCTGATCACCCAATGACAGTACTTGCCATGGTTCTCCACCGTGAGATTGTTTCTTCCCAAGAACCTAGTTCATGTAGTGGATTTATAAACCACCACATGGATGGGGTATTTTATAGGAAGGAAGACGTACTAGAAAAGTATTTCTTAACCTTCCTTGTGCTGTGACCCCTTAATATAGTTCCTCATGGTGTAGTGATTCCCCAACCACAAAATTATTCCATTGTTACTTTGTGACTGTAATGTTGGCACTATTATGAATCATAAATATTTAAACAGATGGTCATAGGTCACCCCTGTGAGAATCATTTGACCCCAAAGGGGTCGTGACCCAGGGGCTGAGAAACAGCACTACAATGGGAACTGTCCATTTGGACCTCTTAAGTACCTAGTAGATTTGAGTGCTGTATGCATGTGTGTGGTCTTTATAGTGACCTTTGTATAATCCAGTAAAGCTAGCTCCCATATTACACGATTCATTTTTTTTTTTAGCTTCCTGACAGTAATTCTAAACTAATGTCCAAAAGTGATAATAATTTACTTTTTTGGATCACCACTTCTCCGAACCGAATTCTTAGCACGGTCACCACCTGGCACGCTCCCTTCCGAGACCCAACTCCTTGTTCCTGGACACCTCACACTGTCCTACCTCCAACAGCCTGTACCACTGCCCTCTCCACCCAGTCAGTGTCCTCTTGTGCTAGGCTGCTGTCACAAATCACTGCTACCTGAGACCTGCTTCCCTTGTTTTGAATGTTTAAAGTAGGTATGCCAGCCCTTCATTCTGTCCTTTCTGCCTGCTGCCTTTGCTTAGAGCCAGCCACCTAACATCTTTTGGACTGAATTATTCAGGGAAAAACAAGTTATCAAAGTAGATTATTTTATAAGACAATCAACTAGCAGAAAATGGAGATTCTCAAAACTGAAGCTTCATAATCATCCAAAAATTATGCTGAGCTGGACGGAAGCTGAGGCAGGGGAAGACCCTTAGTTTAAGGAGAGCTATGATTGAAGTTATGTAATGACACCCTGTCACTAATACTAATTGTGGTGTCTGGTGTTGAGTTTCGTGTCGAAGTGTACAGATACTAGTTGATTCTGCTTGTTTCATCTTGAGAATGATGATGTCCGCTGAGGTCTTCTAGGGCTCATGTTCTCCAGCTTCTGAAGCCTTACTGCCACAGTCATCTCTCTTCTCTTTTAATTTTGTTTTTATTTTCTCTGAAGATTTAGTGTAATACTGGAAAGCACTGAAGCCAGTGTGTTTAACCCATAATATTAACAATGGGGGGGGGAGTCATTACTAGGATGGTCTACCTTGTTGAAGAATAACGTCAAACTATGTGGTTTAAAAGTATATAGATAAAATTTGTCATTTGTAACTTGTAAAAGCTTTTAGAGACCTGGCTTAGTTCTCCTTCCCAATAGCTTTTTCCACAAATTATGAATAATAAAAGATTCGCCTAACAAGGTAGGCTAGTCTGGCACTTTTAATGTTCATTTATGATACAGTTGACTTTCAGGAATTTTCAGTTTATTTTTGCTGCAGGGAAAAACCTTTAGTTTGCAAACTAGGAAACAACTTAAATGCTGCAGAGACCTTCATGAAGTCCTGGAAGTTATCAAAGTTGGATGAGTGCATGGCTTGAAGTCACCAACTATTCCAAGAACATGGATGTGTGCAAGAAAGAGTTGTAGTCCTTTTCTCCCTAGGGGCTTTGAGTCAAGGAATCATGAGGTTATCATTTTAGTAGGACAATATTATTTTCTAATATAAGAGCTTGATGCCTGATGATGTTATTCTACCCCATGATGTTCAAGTGACAAAAAAAAAAAAAAGCTGAAGGAAATGGAGACAGAAAGGCAGTGTATTGTTTCAGGGGTCTAGTGGACTGGACTTAGTATTCCTTCAGACTGCACTGGAAAAACTATCCCGTCAAATTTTCCAGTCCCAGAGGTTGTCTCACTAGAGAGGAAACTGCTATACACTTTGGAAGATGGTACAAGTACACAAAGGAGAGGGGTCAGTATAACCCTGTGTGGAGCTGAAGAGACACCAGAAAGCAGCCCCCCTACCACTCACAAATCCTGCACACGGACTAGAGGACATGGAAGCTCAAGAAAACATTTCCAGAGTCTTGCACCATGGGATCTAACACATCTCCACCATTAGTTTTCCTCTTCCTTAGGAGAGAAGTTGGTAGTGACACAGTAATTTTGAGTAAGGCCTTTCCTCCTGAGTCACCACGTTAGTTACTATACTTCCACACCACATCCTAGTTAAGACTGAGGTTTTCTACCACTAAACACTAGTAGTTGCTTTGTTGAATAATTCAAAACAAAAGCTAACTTCCATACTCAACAGCTATGATAAACCAGATTTGAATTTATATGCAGTAGATGGTAAGTTCTTATCTCATTACCAAGGTTCAGAGGGCAGTAAGGTCTTAAGTGTTGTGCAACCAATGATCTTAACCCACAAAAACTAGCTGTCAGTACTACTGAACAGAACATTTAGCGAGTGTGTAAGGGACAGAACATTAAGTTGGAAACTAGGCACGGGATATAACAAGCACTCCATCTTGTGTTTAATGAGTTAGACGGTCATAAGCTGGGGCTGGGTTAAAGAACTGACTCATTTCCTCTACGTCGGAAGTGCCTTCATATGAGGAGGGACTGAAATTCTGAAGGCTGTTACAACAGTACAACACTCCGTGACCTTGGGACAACGGTGGCTTGCTGGTTCTTAGAGGTCAGTTTAAACCAGTGTGTGAGCAGCTCTTGAGGAAAAGGACGAATGTTTTCCATAGAAACTAAACTACCACGATCAGTGAAGAGTCTGTACTACTTTAATCTCAAGGTGACGACCCTCTTGGAGCTCGCCTATGTGGCCAGACGACTCTGGGGGACCCGCCCAGAACCAATGGTTTCACCTAGTCGTGAGCTGGCACCATTCCTTCCCCAGATCCCCCGGGAAGGGCTCGCCCCCCACCCCCTTTACAAAGCCGGGCGTGGCGGCCCTCGGCTATAACCTCAGCTCTCAGGAGGAGGCTGAGGGATGCCCCCTAGTTCCAGGTCAGCCTGCGTTTCAGTGTGAGAAACAGAGCTCTTTTCCCACGCCCGGCAGCCCTCTCCTAAGGCATACTTCACCACCAGCAGGTCTAGGGTCCGGACGACAGGTTGCTCAGACTGCCACACTCAAGCGCTTTGCGGCACCACGCCGTAAAAGCTGTGACAGCAGCCGCCCTTGGAGGCCCCCCCACCCGCGGCCGTCTACAGGAAGTAGGCGGGGCTGAGAGACGGGGGTGGGGCTAGGGCGGGTTTACGGGCAGAAATGTGTGGGGCTCGGGGCCGCTTTGCTGGGGCGGGCCATCAGGCGGAAGTAGGCGGGATAAGGTAAAAGCCATGGTGTAGCTCACCTTGTGTGGGAAGTGTGGCTTGTGTAACCTGTCCACGCCTTGGGCAGGACTCACCGGAAGACTACAGTGCGACTGCGCAGGCCGACCTCGGAGCGCTGGGAATCGTGAGTGGGCGTGGCCTGTCGTCCTGACAACCGTGAGCGTTCGTGCTCTGCGGAGTTCACTTTTCCCCAGGCAAAGGTCCTGCTTCTCTCATGGTAAGCCAGGCAAGTGAGGGAAATGGGAAGGGGCAAGTGCGGATTCCGCTTCAGCGCTGCTGAGGGGGGACAGGCAGGTGGGCAGTGCGAACCAGGGAAGGCGAGATCCAGATCTCTCCAGTAATTAAACTTTACTAACTTCCGGTGATGTACGTTCCCACTTTTGCTCTGACTGCAACTTGTCATAAATGTTTTCATTCCAACTCTCACGTCTTCAGGAAGGAGACAAAACAATATGTAACTAAAGTCGTGTGTTGTTTCCCATTCTCCACCAAGAGATCATTTATTATCACACTCAGTGAACATGGAGAATACTATTACTGATTACGTAATGCACTCGTTGAGGGGAAATTCAGAGTACATTCTTTGTGTTTGCTGGCTGGAAGCCAGAGACACAAAGGAGAATATGACAGCCCTCCTGCGGCAGTCAATTAAGCAGAGTAACTACCACAAGCTTTACCATGGTAACAGCTGGTGTCTCTAAAGCGGAGTAAAGTTATTAAGAGTGGGGAGAGAAGAAAAGAGTGGTGCTTTTCAACCTCTTTAAAAATATAAATATGTATTTTCTGTAAGTGGTGGGAAGAAATGGGTAGTGGAGGACTCCCCTGGTAAGACCCCCAATGGGCCATAAGCCAAGTTAAGACTGCTGGCAAATTACAAGAACAAGCACTTGTTTGCTCCATAGAAAGGTGGATTTAATATTTTTTTTTCCTAGGGCTGGAGAGATGGCTCAGTGGTTAAGAGCACTGACTGCTCTGCCAGAGGTCCTGAGTTCAATTCCCAGCAATAAAAAAACAATATTTTTTTTCTATCTGCATAGCACTATTTCTTTAAGATTGACCATGCAGCACTGTTTCTCAAAGACTTCCAAGCCACTTGAGGGATTTATTTAAAATGTAGATTCCTGGAGGTCCCAACTTCAAACCTACTGTATCATGGGGCTTCCAGGAAGCAAAGTACCATAAACATGGCTGCTTAAACAGTAGAAACTGCCGACCTCACCATTCTGGAGCCTGAACATCTGGGGTCAGTGTGTCAGCACAGGGGCAGAGATTTATTCAGATTTCTCTTCTACTTCTAATAATTCCTTACTGTATAGCAGTGTAAACTCTTTTTTTTTCACACGATGTTTATTTTCTTTGTGAGGGCCTGTATCCAAGATTCCTCTTTGTAACTTGTACCAGCATATTGAGCTGGAGGCCCACCCAATTCCAGTATCAGGTCATCTTAATTTAGTGAAATAATGTCAGACCCTTTTTCTAAGCTAGGTTAAAAGCTAACACCCAAGAACTAAAGATTTTAGTATATGAATTTGAAAATGCTTAATTCTACCCCTCAATCTAAGGAAATATTAATTCAGGAAGGAAGCAACTACACGGTAAGTCCAGGAGGACAAGTTTCTCAAAAAGCTCGTCAGGACACCCTTTGCTGCTTGAGTATTGAACACGTTTTACTACTGACGGTTCACATGTTTCTATGACGGATAAAGGTGGGATTTTCCCCAAACTGGTTTCATGTTAGAAACACTAATGAGAGATAAAAATGTGCCCATCATCTTTAGGATATGCTGTTTGAGAGGGATATTTACATAGCCTGTCATACAGTGTTTGTTTCAAGACAGCAATGTGTTAACAATTGTGTCAGGGAATACTACAGCCAGGATAAAAACAATTTGTAACAGTCACATGAGAGCAAAGCCTCCCTTGCTGCTCTTCCACGATGAATATCTGAAGAGTATTTCTGAAATGTGTGCACCTTACAGGAAGGTGTTGTCTAGACCTTGTCTACTGTGTGCCGACTTTGGCACTGGCATCTTAGAATGATGTTCCTCTGGCTTGAACCAGCCTTTCCTATGTGTAGCCTTCAGATATGTAAAATGTATAATTCACTCTCAGGACTGCTCAGGAATTTACGGATAATATTATGGAAAAAATACTTGTAATTGTAAATCAGTATTGAAGTACAGAGCTTTCCAAGAAGAACAGGCTGACTTGAAAACCTGTGGCTGGACAGTCGTCACTGTATCATTAATTGGCAAACTTGAAAAAACTGATTTCCTCCCCATAAAAAAAACTTATCAGTCTTGTGTAATAGAAAGGTTTCTTTGAGACAGCTGCCACATCTGCAGATTTGAAATAGTACCAATAGTCAGTGTTGGGTGGAGATTTGGGGAACCTTTTCAACCAGACTGGCTATCTTCTCGTACTCTTTGACACAAGAGATAGTATTGACTACCTCAAAAAGATGCTTCCTGAGAAATCTTGTGGGTTTTCTTGCTAGCGCTTTCAGTCTGCTCTGACTTCTTTTTACAGTATCTTACCAGTTTAAGGTAGCCAAAGAGTCACAGAGAAGTTGCAGTGGAGGCACAGAGAAAATTCCCTCGGGCCTTCTCTAGCAACTCCTAATTAACGCATTTTGTGATGCTTTATTGAAAGTATCTGAATTCTTTTTAAAATATGTCAATTCTTTTGTTTTCCAACTTTTTAGGGTCCCAAGTCAAAAAAGGTATGTATAAATTATGTTTCTAAAAATAGTTTTGTGAACATACTGTACAAATCAAAGTCTTATGTAATTTTATAATAATTTTCTAGTTAGTTGTAGTTTATTGAATCTACTATGCTCATCTTTTAGATAATAATGTTATTTACATTATTGGATAATTCTTCATAATTACAGAAGTGTTTCCCATTTGATGATATTTCTAGTTTGAAAAACACTTTATAAATCGCTTTTAGTTTTGACCTGTGTCTGGCTCTGAGGCTTCAGTTTTTTTCTTCTGCTATAGAAGATGTTAGATTAGTCCTTCTTTTTATTTATTTCAGAGAAACATAAACCATAGTTACAGACCTGCTGACTAAAACAGGACCTTCAGCTAGCACACTGGTTTTCTGCTTTTGTTGGTACAAGGTAGATAGAAATTGAGGTTGGATAAAGGACATATATACCCTGTATATCTGGGATGGCTTTTTCCCCCTCTTTGCTTTGTAGATTTGTAACTTTAAAGCAGATATTTTAATCTCCTAATTACAGGCTAGATCTGGCCTATGAATAGATTCAGTTCTACTCGAAAAAAGTTTTTCTTCTTCTTTTTTTAAATATCAGTTCTCAAGTGTGCCATAATATCTCACACTTGTAATCCCAGCTACCATAAAGGTTGAAGATGAAGTAGGGAGATCCTGAGTTTGAGGCCAGCTTGGGCCAAAAACAGCAACAAAACCCCTCACGTATGGCCAGATACGACCCCCCCCCCCGCAAAGTGTAATAAAACAATTAAGAAGCAGGTACCAAAGACATTTGATTTGTTCTAGTCATGACATATGGAAACTGATCACATTGGGCCTGAAGTCCTATAAAGCAGCAGTTTGTGGGGTTTAGTAGAAGCCACCTCTAGGAATGTAGAAAGCGTGTTGATCTTGCCATGGTCCTGTCTGTGGTCAGAGTCTGGTCTTTGTTGCCTCCCTGACCACAGCAGGGGCTTAGAGTTAATATTTTTTTTTAAATCTCAATGGTCTGTTCTCCATAAATCCTACCATTCTCCCTTGAAACATCAATTACATTCAGCCCTTCTTATTTATGGTTTCTGCACCTATGGATTAAATCAAACATAGAATCTGTCTCAGAAGTATGACCAGACTGCTGGGTGTGGTGGTGCTTTCTTGTGATCCCAGTGTCAGAAGGACCACAAGTTCTAACGCAGCTTCAGCTACCCAGTGGCCTTATCTCAACAACAACATCATCAACAGCAACAACAGAGATAATGGGGTTAGAGAGATGGCTCCGTGGTTAAGAGCACTTGGTGCTCTTGAAGAGAACCTGGTTCCCAGCATCCACATGGTGGCTCTCAATTGTATAACTCTAGTTCCAGGGGATCTGACACCTCTGTGAGCACTAGGCATACATTCAGGCAAACACTCATACACATACAGTTTTTTAAATAAATATGGTAATATGGAGCATGCCCTGTGTGTCCCTGAAAGCCAGAAGAAACACTTTGTAATGTCTGGGTGATAAAGATTTGTGAAATCACAACTGCAGTGAATACGTCAGACTTTTCCATGAAGCAATTCCTGAACAGTGAATATGGCCACTGCTGAGATCTGGAATGGTAGAATTTAACAGAGGATACACACAGGCTGCTTGCAAATACTGTGGCTTTGTGTATGGTCTTGAGTATGTGAACTTTGACTTTCACAGGGTCCCGTAACTAGGGGTTCACCGTCTACTCTGTGGGTTCTCAACACATATGAAAATGTGCCTCGGCGCTAAGTCTTGGATCATATTGCATATGTACATGTTTGAGTTCGTATAGACATGCCAAAACACACATGTGGCAGTCAGAGGATCACTTACAGGAATCTGTTCTCTCTTCCTACCATGTGAGTCCTGGAGATTGAACCGAGATTGTCAGACTTGGCAGGAAGTACCTTTACCTCCTGAGCCATCTTGCTGGCCTGTTACTTACTTTCAGCCTGTGTCTTATGACCAGGAGCATGCCTTCTGGGAATTGAACCCAGGGCCTTGTGAACAGCAGGTAAATCCTCTACCACTGTTGTATTCTCCAGCCCACATCACAGTTGTTTTGTGTCTATAACATTTAGCACAGTGCCTGATGTATTACGGGAATCAAATCAGTGTGTGTTGAATAAACGTGTGGAAGCCCTTGAATTCTAGTCAAGCCAGTTGGGCTCTTGGTATCTCAGAAGAGATGCTTCTGTGAATGCGGTGCGTGCGGTCTGTGTCTGTGTGGCAGTCACTAGGATGCACTGCCATGCTCTTTCCACCTCAGCAGGCGCCCCAGCCTTCTACTCCATCACCTCCTTCCTGACTCCTCTGTGCAGTCTTCCCAGAGCCCACAGAGTTCGCTGTTCTTCCAGTTCTGCATTACTTGCAGCTGCGTTACCTTCTTACATCCCCTCTCCTCAAACACAAGTTGCTTCATAGACTTGATACGTGTAGCTGATCAACTCCCTCCAAACTTTCGAAATAACGGAAAGCCTGTGATCACAGAAATATCTTTGATGTTGATGGTCTGCCATTGTAGCTGTGTTATATGTACTTCTCCAAATTGGAAGTTCAAAGGTTACTTCAGTCACACATTCTTGCCAGTGTCGTACCTGCTGCGGAGTGGACTGTCTTTCTTGTTTATTTCCAGACTAATCCCTGCAGTGCCCAGAGTCTGTGTCGACATGAATTACCTGTCTTGTCCCTTGAATTTACTGTACATAAAAATCGGTTTCATAAAAATTAATAATTGTTTTCAAAATTGGTTATGTTTTAAGATTTATCTTTTAAATGTACATATCCTAGTGCAGGCCTGTGTGATTTTATCTGCACCACGAGTGCAGGAGAAAGCCAGAGGAAGGCACGGAATCCCCTGGAGCTAGAGTTACAGGTGGTTGTGAGCCGCTTGGCGTGGGCCCAGGGACGAGCAGTAAGTGTGCTCACCTGCCCGGGTCATCTCTCCGGCTGCCCATGGCTGCTACTTGAAGGGAGGCATTCTTAAGTCACGTGGGAGCATGCTGACCGCCTCTTTAACGTTGTGGTCTTTGTTAAGACTCCCGGTAAGAAAAAGATGACCAAAGCTGAGCGACTGCGGCTGCTGCAGGAGGAGGAGGAGAGACGCCTGAAGGAGGAAGGTACTGAGTGCCCGGATGTCCGGCCGGATCCCATAGCACAGAGCATTAGCCATGGGTTCATGCCCCCATGACCACTCGGCATTTTCAACAGGTTTTAATTTTATCAAGGATTCCTACTACTCACAGCGTAGACCATCAGTGCACACAGCCATATCTGGGTGTGCACTGAAGTCTTGCTGCCAGATAAGAGTTCAGAGAAGCTCATACAGTTTCGCTGATCTTTTCATCTTTTGCACCGCACAATATTTGGGCCGTATTTAATGGCCCAAAGTTTTTAAGCCAAAAAAAAAATCATTGCTTCTCAGAAATTCAAATTCAGGCGATCAGCCCATGTTTTTGTCTGCTGATTTTGTCTGACCTGCCTTAAAGTGTTTATGATCTGATGATGAAAAACGGGCACATTGGTGCCGACTGTGTGGTAAGAATCCTGGACCTAAAATTTATTAGCGATGAGAAGTACACACTAGCAAAAGCTGCATACAACAGCCGAACTTGTTTTTTTCAACCCTGAGGGTTTTAAAAAAGATCTATGCTGTTTATTTTTGGTTATGTGTGTATGTGTGTCTGAACATGAGTATGCCCAAGTGAATTCAGATGCTCATGGTGGCCAGAGGTGTTGGATTCCTCTGGATCTGGGTACAGGAAGTTGTGAACCACATGATATGGGTGTTAAGAACTAAATTTGGATGGGTCCTCTGCAAGAACAGTGCATGCTTTTAACTTCCTGAGCCCAGTTTCTCAATGTTTAACAATATCTCTTTGCTAGTTAAACTAGAAATCCCATTCATTGATATTAAACAATGATAAAAAAATTGGCAAATTATTAGAAAGTGCTTTTTAAAGACTGTATGACCCTGGAGGTTACAGCTATTAGAACTCAGTTTCTATAGATTTATATTCAGGATTTTTAAGGATTCCTTTGGCTTTTAGTGTATATTTGCCGTTTGTAAATAATAAAGAACATTGTGTTGTTTGCTAACTGACTTTTATAGGTTTGTTTATTTATTGAGGGATACTCATGCTTTGCCACACATGTGGAAGTCAGAAGACAACGTATGTGAGTCCCTTCCTTCACAGGTGGGATCTGGGAGGCAAACATGGGTCATCAGATGACTTGGTGGCATGTGCCTTTGCCTTCTGGCCTTTATTAGTCCATTTTAAATGACTAAAAATAAAAAAATAAGGATCTATATCCTGGGTTTATCTCATGTCCTTTAACATGGAAGTTATATACACAGATGTATATGTATGTGTGTGTGTGTGTGTGTTTGCCTGCATCTGTGTCTGTGCACCACATACATACAGTGCCCAAGGAGGTCAGACGAGTGCAGTGGATCCCATGGAACCGTTACAAATGGTTGTGGGCTGCAAGGTAAGTCCTTGGAATTGAGCCCAGGTCCTTTGCAGGAGCAGCCAATACCCTTGACTGCTGGGCCACGTCGCTAGAGTTGATACTTTGTATTTGATTTTAAATATCGAGAGCTGGAGAAGCTGACAGCATTGATGCCAACTATAGACTTTTGAAAACCTTATTTCCCCTTAATCAGCTGCTACACAGCTTAAAATCATTATTGAATTGCTATTGCTTTATTTCTCTCTCTCTCTCTCTGTGTGTGTGTGTGTGTGTGTGCTCATGCATACGTGTGCTGGCCAGTGTGGTCTTGGAGGTTAGAGGACACCTTGCAGAACTTGCTGTTCCCTCCTTCCACAATGTGGGTTTTGGGGATTGAACTCGGGTTGACTTAGTCGCAAGAACCTTTACCCAGTGAGCCCTCTCACCAACCCACCATCAGTGTAACTTTTCCTTCAGATTTATTTTTATTTTATGTGTTTGAGTGTTTTGCTTGTACATATGTCTGCACACCATGTGTGTGAGGTGCCCTTGGAGGCAAGACAAGGGCATCGGATTCCCTGCAACCGGAGTTGCCATTGTGGACCTCCTCATGATCAGAAACTGAGTCATGTTCACTTTTAAGCTGATGGATAGTCATTGATCAGAGCACTGCTTCCGAAAGGATGCTCTCATACAAGGATATAGTGTATTTGACTCATGGCGTTCTTGGCTGGAAAGTGAACATTTTCTCATCTCTGCCACTCGGTAGAAGCTGTGACCTCCATAAAAGGTTCTGCTCTGTGTTTGGTTCAGAGGCACACCAAGAATTTAAAACACGGTGGCCGAATCCCTGCAGCTGATTCTTGATTTCTTTTTGGTTCTTCAGAGGAGGCGCGACTGAAATTTGAAAAAGAAGAACAGGAGAGGCTAGAAATACAGCGGATTGAGAGAGAAAAATGGAATCTGCTGGAAAAGAAAGTAAATAAGTATGAGTGTCAGCTGGGCTGCTACCCACTCCTGCATCCGGGACTGCAGCCGTGCCCAGCCCTGTTGTAGCTGCATGTGCTGGTGCTGCAGCCGTGCCCAGACCTGTTGTAGCTGCATGTGCTGGTGCTGCAGCCGTGCCCAGCCCTGTTGTAGCTGCATGTGAGGCATGCCCTCACGTATGCTTTCAGTTAGAGAAGTGAACGTCATTGGTTTGTTCCCTTGTTTGTTTTATTTTTCCAGACAGGGTTTCTAAGTGTAGCCTTGACTGTCCTGGAACTCGCTCTGTAGACCAGGCTGGCTCCAAACTCACAGATCCGCCTGCCTCTGCCTCCTGAGTGCAGGAATTAAAGGCGTGTGCCACCACCTCCTGCACTTTTCTTTTTTAAAACAGGGTCTCTCTATGCAGCTCTGGCTGTTATGGAGCTCTATGTAGACCGAGCTGGCCTCAAACTCAGATTTGTCTGCCTCTGCCTCTCCAGTGCTGGAGTTAAAGGCACAGCCACCATACCTGGCTGTGTTGGACAGGTCTTTGAAAATCTCTTTAGCATCTAGTTTAACAGAGGACACCAGGGCTCTTATGTTAACGTCAGCATATTGTCATATGTTTCAGCAGAAGTATATGAAAGAAAGCTCGGTTTGTGCAGATAGATACAGAAAAGGGGGAAGACAACACAGGTCCGGGAGATGGATGGCTCAGGTGGGAAAATGCCCACCCTGAAAGCATGAGCCCTAAGGTCCACGTGGAAACCATGTGCCTACAGCTCCAGTACTGAGGGGCTGAGATGGCAGAGCCCTGAAGTGCATGGCCAGCTAGCCTAGTCAAACTGACGGGCTTCCATTTTAGTGAGAGATCTGCCTCAAAACAAAGGACAGGGACCAAGGAAGAACACCTAATGTCAGCTTCTGCCTGTGTGCAGACACATGCATATATACCCATATACATACATACATACCCACATACATACATACATACATACATACATACATACATGTCCTGTGTGTGTACATACACATGCATATACTGTGCATGTACACACACACACACACACACACACACACGATTTCACATGTGCTTGTATCCACAAAGTGGGAAAGAATCTTCCCAGCTTTCAGATCATTGTGGTATTCTTGCATACTGCATCTAAATGAGACAAATGGTGGCTGCTGCTGCTGCTGCCTTTCTGTGACAGAACTGTGCTGTGTTGCTGAAGCTGGAGTCAACTCCAGTCTCACCTGAGCCTCCTTACTTCAGCCTCCAGAGTCGCTGGCTCTACAGGCACATGCCGCCTTCCCGAGCTTAACGAGTGAACTTCTCAATGTGGAATCTGAAGCTACATTAACGAGCACATGCCCTCGTTAGTGGCACTTCCCTTTGGTAGCCAAGCGTTGCTATGCAACATCGTGTTGTTTACTTAGAAAATATTGGGTCAGTGACTTATTTACCTCCAGATACTGAAGTATCTTATTCTCCATTATCGAACACCACAAATGTATTAGGCACGGTGACGCACGCCTTTAATTCCAAAGAGGTAGACTTGTTTTCATAGAAGTTCAAGGCCAGCCAAACCTACATAGTAGACCCCATCTCAAAGAAAACCAATATTGTAGCCAAGCATGGGGTGCACATCTTTTAGCATTTGGGAGGCAGAGACAGGCAGATCTCTGTGAGCTCGAGGGCAACCTGGTCTACAAGGCGAGTTCCAGGACAGCCAGAGCTGCTGTTACACAGAGAAAACCTGTCTGGGGGGTGGAAGAAAAGGAAGAAAGAAAATATTACCTATGTTTGTATCATTTTAAAAAAACGGAAGTTTATTTTTTAAGATTTGCTGTTCATTAGATGCAGTTTTTTTTCTAGGTTTTTTTTTTTTTTTTTGCTTGAATGCTGAACCTTGTAGTTCCAAACAAAAGTCTTGATGTGTACCCTTGACCTGCTGTGTTCAGCTGATCCACTCTTGAGAGCACATCTCCCAGCACACTCAGTATACAGATTATTTCTTGAGACACTGTTGCCTTTGACGTATAGAGGAGCAGCTAATGCCTCTTCCATTTTATCGAAGAAAGTGAAAACGTGATAGTTAGGGTTAAGATCTAGTGAATTAATCCCTGTCCTCTCTTCATCAGGACGTTCTTACCTGTGGTCACCGCTGCCCCTCATTACCCCCCCCCCCCAGCTAGTGCAGTGTGGAACCACTGCTCTGATTCAGGCCAAGACACCTAGAATCGTATCATCTCACACCACGGGGCAAACAGTATCTCACACAGATGAACCTTTAAGCCTCTGAAGATCCCACTTTGAGGCCACTGTTTCAGCCAGCATTAGCAGTTTTATTCAAAGTAACGACTCTTTCTTTTGGAAACTATATATCCAGCCACATGACTTTTCAATGCTCCCCATGAAAGCCATGCAAGAGCCATCAGTGTGCCTCCTTCTGTGGCAGGACCTAGAGAGGAGAAACGAAGAGTTTGAAGAGCTCGCTTTGCTCGAGGATTGTTTCCCTGAAGCAGAGAAACTGAAGCGGGAGATGCGAGCTCTGGCTCAGGTGAGGCGCGCCCTCCCTGCCCTTGAGCTCCTACTTCCGGGATCTCAGGGAAACTATAGTCTGGTACTAACTTTTATCTCGGGAAACTTTATTAAGGAAAAAACTCCAGGCTGGCGAGATGGCTTAGTGATTAAAAGTGTGCACTGTTCTTGTAGAGAACACGAGCGGTTCCCAGCATCCTGTACAGCCACCAGTTACCACAGTTACCATCAGTTATCCCTGGGGCGTCTGATGCCCTCTTCTGGGCTCTGCAGGCACCGCACACGCAGGAATACATAAATGTTAAAAAAAAATCTCCTAAAAACCCCTCATTTGACACATATATGACACATATATTCAGGGAGAAAATGGATGCAGCTGTAGAAAGCTAGTGTCAGTAAAGGGACACTTGGAATGTTCGCCCCCTCCACTGTTCCCTTATGAGCCGTTGGATTGTGCTTCAGGACATTCCATTTTGTGTATATGGAACTGGAAGGTGTGTGGAAACCCTGGGTCAGACATCTCTCTTGCCACCATTTTCTCAGCAGGCAGGGCTGACGTCATGTCTGAGCTACATTTGCAGGAGGGGCTGACGTCATGTCTGAGCTACAACATCTTGGCAGCTCTCCAAGCATGCAAGCTGCCCATGATCACATCTGTGTGTTGGTCCCTCTGTAGTGATGTTGGGTGTTATTACTCTCACTGTTTAGGAGTGATCATCTGAGTCTCTGGAAGGTGAGAAACTTCAGTGGTATGGATTCTGTTCATATCTCTGCCTCACAGCCCAGCCCCATCCCCTCTCAGAATCCCTACTCCCTGAGACATGAAAGCATCGAAGTCATCTTGGTGAATGGTCCACTGCCCTCCAAGGCACCCAAAGGACAGCACAGCTCCACTTCCAGGTACAGGTGGAATGACTGAGCCTGGAGAGGAAGCCAAGTCCAAAGCCAGGGTAGGCTGAAGGCCAGGTCTTTCACCACACTGGGACTGCAGGAGTGTTCTGGAAGAAACTGAAGTGCTGTGTTTCGAGGAAGTAAATCAGCCCTTATTGCTGACATGGCAAAAAGGCCAGGCCAGCACACCAGCCAAGGCCTAACAGGCCAGGCCAGCCCACCAAGGCCTTAACCAAGGCCTAAACGAGAGAAGCCAGCCTTCCACCTTAAACCAAGGCCTACCCCAGAAAAGGCTAGCCCATTACCCTTAAACCAAGGTCCAATCCAGAGGAAGGCCAGGCTTTTCATCTCTGAAGACCAGGAGGTAATGAAGCCACAGAAGCAAAGTTTGGAGCAGAGACTTCCTCATGAAATTCTTGTCTTTAAAGAGTCCATGTGCATTGAAAATAAAATTTGTGGGGAGCTGAGGATTTAGTCTGCACCCATGGGCAGCTCTGGTTGGTTCCTGTGGCCCTGTGGCTAGTTAGCTGGTGAAGGCTGAGAGCCACCTGCTAGTCGGTTGACTGACTGCAGCCAGAGAAGTTGTTCTCTGTGCCTCACTCCTATAGTCCGGTAAATGGTGTCTAGTAACAGCTCTGGTACTGAGCTTTGAACCAAGTGGCTTTGGTTCCCACTACTTGCTATGGTTCTGAGACCGTCCAATTTGGTGAATCATGGTTTGAAGTGTTCTTTGGATAGATAAGGTGTGCACAGCCTTACTAACCCTAAGAGATGTTTCCTTGCCACGGTTCTGCTTGGGGATGGTTTGCCAGACTGGAATCAGAGCTTCAGAGACTCAGAAACATCAGCTATCCAGGCAGGTTACCCCCAGGCCCATGGATTTATTTTTCTGTTTCCCTGTTGCATCTGGGGATTGTGGGGAAACTCTTTTCTGGATTAGAAGTCTCTGGGTTTGAACAAATGTTTTGGTTCAGAAGTACAGCAGGGAGGTGTTACATGTCTGAGTGTGTCAGACAGAAACAGAACTGGCTTTAGTGGGAACAGAGATGTTCCTGTAAAGATGTCTCCAGTATTTGAGTGGGTGAGACAGGAGAAAATGAAGCTTAGGTAAGATTCCTAAATGACAGGCAATCATGAGTCCATCTGCAGTCTGGGAGACCATCTCTCAGAGCCTCTTCTAGGATTGGTTTAAATTGAACTGATGGGACACAACCGTGGGCCCTACCAAGACTCGCTCTGTGCTACAGAAGGGCCTCTAATGCAGGGGTTTCTGCTGGCTGCCTGAGTTAGTCAGAATCTGGGATGTGTATTTAGTTTAAAACTCCATTTGAAACTCCACCCAGTCTTGTGCCTTCGTGACTAAGGAAATGGGTGAATCTTAAATGAATAAAGTACATTGAGATTACAGCAGCCACCATAAGGAAGATACAGCAGCCACCGTGAGGAAGATGAGCTGGGTAAGATCGATTGCCCTTAGATCAGTGGTGGCCTTGTCTACCTTGTGCCTTGGTTGAGCTCAAATGCAGAGCAGTGTGTAGCAGTCCATGGCCCTGTAGTCAGCACCTCGGTTGAAAGAACAGTTGTGTTGGGAAACTTCTCTTATTTTGAGACCTAACTAGAGAAAGGAATTTACAGCTGTGGAGAAATCCTCCCTTTGGGTGCTTTTCTCTCTGCAGCAGTGAAGAAGTAAGACATTGGAGGTCTGTACAGGGGAAAGGCAGAAAGGCCCAGGTCTGCATGTGTAACAAGCCTCAGCTAGCACTTGGTCTTAACCTACTTTGGGCTGACTCTCTTCCCTGGTAGATGACAGAAATAAGACATGAAATTGAACACACAGGCATCAGAGCTGACACTTAGGGCAGTAATCAGAGAGGTCAGTCAAGAAGGGCAAGCTAGATGGATGGATGGATGGATGGATGGACGGACGGATGGATGGATGGAGAGAGATGGTTTGTAGTAAGATAAGTATGGTGAAACCCATTCATCACCCCACTCCCTTCATGTGTATGTGTGTGTGTTCTGTCTGTCTGTCTGCCTCTGCCTCAATGTGTGATGCCCCGCCTCATCCTCCCAAGGCCTGGCCTCCTCCATGCCTGGCACCAGTCTTTTCTCAGTTCATTCTCAGAGGTAAGCACACCACAGCGTTTGTTGTCTCTCCCGCACCCCCTCAGCGATAGGCCTCATGTTAAAGAATGGACTGAGTAATCATAGACTAAGGTAAAACTCTCCACGGTGCCTCTAGTAATCTCCTCTGGAGTGTGATGTGCAGTGAGGTGAGAGGTCAGTGCTCCAGACTCTATGTGTCGTCTCTAAGGCCTGGTGGCCGCCTGTCTTTACAGAGGGGAAAGATGGATGAGCTAAGAGTCTCCTTGAGTGCCACCCCCGTGAGCTTTCCATGCAGGACGACTGAGGTCATAACATCAGAGAGTGTTACTCCGAAGTGCCTCCATTGGGGAGCATTCCTGGAGCGATTCCCACTGGCAGAGGGATGTGTTCGCTGATTTATTTATAATGAAACAGTTGAAGGTGTTAAATGCAGTGGCCCTGTCACCCTCGCTCTTCCGGTAAAGATGAAGGATGGACAGCGTTGTCAGTCGGACTGCCTTGCAAAAGATGCTATCGAGGCGAAGAGGAGATTCTAGCTTTGACAGTGGCCTGACAGTGGGTGAGATGCTCCACATGGCACCACATACAGCACACAGAAGGCATGGGTGCTGCAAACGTGACTCTTTGAGGTTTATTTTGATGTGTGAGTGTGTGTGTGTGTATGTGTGTGTGCACGCTCGCATGCTCGTCTATAGATAAATATCACATACTTACCAGATCGCAGTTCGACTTTGACACATGCTAGGGTACCAAAAATTCCATGTGCTTCACTTCTGGTAGATTTTGGAAGCAAATCTACAGGCTCTCTAGAGTGTGGGTTTTCTGAGGAAATGACCAATGACCCTGAATTAAAATATGTAGGTGTAGGGCCTGGAGGATAGTCCAGTGTTTGGAGTCACTTGTACTGTAACCATAAGTACCAAAGCTTGGACGGGCCAGCATCCTCTGAAAACACATGTAACCACAGCTCGGAGCGCACGCGCACACACACACAAACTAATGAACAAAATATAAAAGTGTCAGGCCATTTAGTTTGATCAGAAGCCATAACTTTGGAGACAATGCAACTGTGAGAAGACCAGTGGGAAACTCAGCATTAAACATGAGACGACCTTAGAGTAAGAACAGCGTGATGACGTGCAAAATTTACACGGACAACAGAGTGAGAGGACTCCAGAACCACCAGTGGCAGCTGTCAATCAGAGAGAACAGGAAAAGGACAAAGCAGAAGCCTTGGCCCTGTGAGCTCACACAACCTCAAAAGAAACACACGAAAGTATGTAGAATTTGTGCCCCAGCGAACAGCGGAGACTGGAAATTATTTAGATGAAAAGGACTCCAATGGGCTGGATATGGGGTACATGCCATTAATCACAGCATTTAGGGGGAGTCTCTGTGAGTTCGAGGACAACCTGATCTACACCGGGGGAGTGCCATGCCATCCAGGACTACAGAGTTAGCTCGATTTCAAAAAAAGGGGGGGGAGCATGTGGGGAGGGAGATGGGGAGACTGGTTATTTGAGTTGGTTTCTTTGGCCATATAGTTTATATCATTACTGGTTGTGTAAATTGTGGTACTTATGTTGAGGCTTCAGATTTCAATCAAAACAAAACAAAAAACAATTTAGGGGCTGGCAAGATGGTTCAGTGATGTGCTTGCTGCCAAGCCTGATGACCTGAGTTCAGTCCCCAGGACCCACTTGGTAGGAGTGACCTGGTTCCCCCAGGTTGTCCTCTGACCTGCAGATGCATACGGTAGTGTATGCATGTTCCTCCCCCACCTTCCCCAGTAAAAGCCACAACCTTAAGACGCTGCTCTTCCCTTTGGTTGTTTCCGGGAGTGTGACCCTCATTTGTATCCCCAGTGGAAGCACTACACCGAGTGCGATGGGAGCCCCGATCCTTGGGTTGCCCAGGAAATGAACACGTTCATTAGCCTGTGGGAAGAGGAGAAGAACGAGACCTTTGAGGAAGTGATGGAGAAAAGTAAACTGGTGTTGTCTGTAAGTACTGCGGCCGCCTGACTCCACGTCCAGTGCTGGCCGCGCAGTCCGTCCGGTTAGCCCACGGGCTGTTCTGAGCCCTGCCTGTGCTTCCTTGCCTGACTTCACACAGAGGGCTGTTCTGAGCCCTACCTGGGCTGAGCCCTGCCTGTGCTTCCTAGTCATTTTCTTACCGCCTCAACCCCACCTCACAAAGCAGAGCTCGGACACCGAGCATTTCCTACTCTGTCTCACGGAGGTAGATCAGATTGCATGTGTGTAGCTGGCTCGGAGGTACAGTGGAAATGTGTATTCCCAAATGACTTCCGTTGCTATGGTGTGGGTTTTAAGTGTTCCCCGAAGGCCCAGTGCTGCTATCTGGTGAGTGCTGGGATTTTTAGGAATTGGGTTCTGGTGGAAGGAAGTGGCTTTATTAGAGTGTGTTCTTAAGTGAATGTTAGGGTCCTCCCAGGCTTGGAACTGCTTTGCTCTGCCCTTCCTCCCCCTCCCCCTCCCCCTCCTCCTCCTCCCCTCCCCCTCCTCCTCCTCCTCCTCCTCCCCTCCCCTCTCCGTCCTCCCCCTCCTCCCCCTCCTCCCCCTCCTCCCCTTCCTCCCTCCCTCTTCCCTTCCCCCTCTCCCTTCCCCTCCCCCTACCCCCATCCTCCTCTGTATTACCTTTTTAGTCTCCCTGTGACAGTTTCATGCCTGTCGCTGTACCTTGTTCAGATTTACCTTCTTAATGAAATGCTTTAGGCCATGGGAAAACTCTGGAAACCATTGGAACTGCAGATGGATGCTATCCAGTCTGTCTATGATTGCCTGTGGCTCACTCTCCTTTAGAAGCATGCACAGAGCAAAGGCACAGTGAGAACAAAGTGAACTAGAACGGCTGGAACCTCAAACTCTGAATGACAGACAGGACACACACACTCTGCAGAGGGCCAGAAACATACTTGCATCGTCTTTAGCTTGTACACATCCATCGAGATTTCTTAATCACAAACAAAGTGGAAGTTACATTGAAAGGATATGTGAGCACACAGCAGCATGAGGGATGGAGAGATGAGAGAACAAAGGTCAGTAAGGGTCAGTGGGGATGTGGGCAGGGACATCTGAACCAGTACAGATCAGGAGGGAGGGGAAGCAGCAGTGTTGATAGTCACCCAGAACTGAAAGATATAAGAATCCTCTTAATTTACAATATCCAACACATCCAAAGAAAAGATACAGACCTAGAAGATTAATGACATCCACACATATACCTAATGTGTATGAAAACCCCCTTACACTCACAAATACAACAATCTAGACACACACACTCACACATATATATGTATATATATACATACATACATACATATATATATATACACACACACACACACACACACACACACCCCTAATATGTATGAAAACTCCCTCACACACATGCACCAAATATATATATGTTCCCCCAACACACACACACACACACACACACACACACACAAACACTGATTTTCCACCTCTGCACATGAACTGGGTATCTACAGTTTAATGCTGACATTAACTACCCAGAGTTAGAATAATCCCCTGGGTGTTAAGGGTTTGATCCCACAAGCCTCTGCATGCCTTCCAAGCATCCCCCAGGTTACCCATACCTCCGAGCAACCAACTCTAAGTAGGGTTCCCCAAACTCTCCTCGTGGATGAGACACCCTGTTACAATGGCTCCCCAAACAAAGAAAACTGGTACTTATGCTTGGTCTAAACGGCCAGATGAGGACAAACACAGGGCACACCATGTGGAGAAGGTTGATATGATCTCCTGAGTTCTCTGGGTGTTCTGCACACTTAGCAACTTGATGAGTTCACCATCTAGAAGGTTCTCTGAACACTATTGTTAAGGGGGTTTTAAGGAAGTATCATGATGGAGGCAGGACAAAATCATCCCTCAAGGCTGAGGAGCACAGTCAGCACCTGTCTACTCAGGTGCCCTCCTGTCCTCCACAGAGTCACCACACTAGCATGCACTCAAACACAACTAAGTTAGATCACTATGAAAAATAAAACCAGTTTCTTCGGTCGCAGCGTGGAGGAAAACCCAGTCTTGTTCAACAGTCACGGAAGATCAGCTAATACGGCATCCGCTGGTCTCAGCTGGTTAAGCACTGGTTCTTCTCTAAGCTGGCCACTGAGACCTCTGTGCCTGTGGGGTTGGACACATACACGGGAACTCTTTGGGAAAGATGTTTTCTTTCTCTGTGATCTTAAGTTACAGAAGACAGGAAAGGACACCTTTCCTTGATCTGAAGTGACAGGCAGTCGCCTTCCCACGTCCCTTTGGCTTTTTCCAGGTGAGTGATGTAGTATTCTTTACATTTCAGTTGATTGAAAAGCTGAAGTTAATTTTACTGGAAACTCCTTCAAGTGACCTGGACAGCAAGACCACCCTGCAGCATCAGGGGTTCATCCTGCGCCTGCAGGAGCTCCTCGGGATGAAGGTGAACGTGGCCACAGAACTACTACTCCGAGTACGGGCGGTATCTCTCTTACAGCGCTAACTTAACAGGCCGCCCTTAGCAGTCTGACTGTATGTCATGGCCCCACTTAGGTCTCTAAAAACCTTCAGTATTCAGGACAAATCAATGAAATGAAGGGCCCGTACTTATGTGACTTAACAACTGTTTATACTTTATTTTCTAAAGTATATTTTTATATTTGTCAGAGTTCATCGAATTCATTACGAAGAAAACTTTACAAACTAATATGAGTTAGCTACTATAGGTAAAGTGGTTGAAATACATCACAATTACTGACGTCCTGTTTTTCTCCAGTTTTTATTTTGAAAGTATAATGTTTAAACATGAGACTTAAAAAACGGTACCAGGAGTCCCCACTATGGACTCTATAACTTTGCTATAATTTATAGATAAAAATCAAAGCTTTGAATGTTTTGTAACCTTTTCTTTGTCTCTCTTTTCTTTCCTTGCACCATTCAGAAGTTTGTGTGTTACACATTTCATCCCCAAAAATCTCACCAGTAATGAAAAGATCCAAATGGCTGTCATCTAGTATGCATCATAAAACTCATAAGGTCAAAGTCCTGACATGTGGCCCATAGTCCAATTCTCTCATGAACGTGTTTTATAACCTTCAGAGATGTGTCCCATTTCAAAAGAATCCTCAGAACACAGCCGACAGGCGTGCGTCGTGTTCAGCCATTTAGTCTGGGTTCTTTTAGTTTAGAACCATCCCTGGGCGGCCTTGTTGGGATGTAGTCTAAGTGTAAACACTTCTTCTGAGTGCTGAGCTCACACACTCTGTAGCAGGCACGCCACACTCTTGCATCTGCCGTGTGTATCGTAGGACAAACCGAATAAGGAAGTGTGGGGGTTTATCAGTGACTAAGATGCTTACTAAGAGAAAGTACAGTATTTTTTCATCTTATTTTATACATTGTGTTGTGGTTAAGGTAGAGACATTGGTACAAGCCAGCCCTTAGTGCATCAGGGGGACCAGGGGAACTGGGGAAGCATCGCTGTGTAGAGCACTTGCGAGCATGCTCTCTTGGCACCACACAGAAGTGAAAGGGATACAGGACATAGAAGAGGTGGATGAAGACGGGGAAGACGTCCAACTCCAGGTCTGGAGCACAGAGAAGGAAAGAGCGAGCTGGGTTACCTTACTGCGCCTGATCTTTTACTGTCTCCCATGTAAGTGTGCATTTGCACACTTGGGTACCTGTGCATATGAGGCCCAAGGTTGACATCAGGAACTTCCTTGCCTGCTTCCCATCTTGATTGCTGAGGCAGAGTCACTCAACTGAACCCAGACCTCGCAGTAGGGCTGCTCTAGTTAGCCACTTTCCTCCAGGAATCCCTGTCCCTGCCTTCTCAGGCTGATATCACGGGGAACCACCAGACATCGACAGAGGTTTGGGGGACCCAAACTTTAGCCCTTACACACGGCAGTCACTTTAACCAGTTAGCCATCTCCTTGGCCTCTTCAGTATTATTTACCCAGAAAAAAAAAATCATCTGCCGTTTACCCAGATTATTCTCTTAACAATACAAGGAATCCAGTATCCCAGTGATCGTGTGACTTTCCTAAGCCGTGAGACTTTGTGAGGCTCTTTTGTGTTTTCTCTTACAGCAAGCTAGTACCTTAGCAGACCTGGACACTGGGGATATGGAGAAAGTCATCAGAGATGAGAATGTTACCCTGTACGTGTGGGCAAACCTCAAAAAGAATCCAAGGTACCCCCTCCCCTCACCATTTCTTCATAGATGCCAAGGCCAGAGGCGTTTAGTCGGTTGGCTTGAAGTTTAAACATGAGCTCCCGTAGGAGGCGCTGTGTCCTAGTATCTAGAGGAGGCGTGCTTGCTCCAGTGAGTGTGTCTTCACTTGCTGCTCACACGAGTGGTGAACATGTGCACAAGTAGAAAAAACACTACATAAAAAACAAACCTTAAAAAAAGAGCTAGGAGGCTTCTCCCCACCCTCACCTGTGCCAAAGCTGGTCTTGAACTGGTGGGTCCTCCTGCTTTAGCCCCTACCCACCCAGGGCTGGGGTCCCAGGTCTGTGACATCAGACCTGGTGCAGAGCTTCATTTTAGTATTTCATAAAAAGGAGGGAACGAAATATTTACCAAGTTGTACTTTCTACAAAGCGTAGTATCTATTGCCTTCAAGACACCATGTCAGCTTCTGTGCAGTTGATAATGCCGCACACAGAATCATGAAGGAAGTTTCTCTATAGAGGAGAGGAAGCTGGCATGCTCTCCCACAGTGGGGACAGGAAGTTTTGGCCTTAATCTAATAAAGACAGGAGAGGATTGCCAGGTTAATTCGGTGGTAGGCTGTCTGCACCTAGATGATACATCAAAGCATGGCAGGTACTGAGAAGGCTGCCATGGGTATTTATCAGGGATAAATCAATAGTTTCCATGACATAGATTCTTCTGATTCTGAAATATGTTCATACATATGGAAGGGTCATTTGGACCCTCTTAGAGTTTATTCAGGGAGGCCTCTTCTGCCTATGTTTTGCCAGGAAAAAAAAAAAAAACAAAGCTGCTGCTGAAACCCCCTGGTAAAGTGATCAGCAGTTGAATCTGTAATCAATCAGATGTAGAGATTGAGAAAGAGAAGACAGTTCGGAGGAGCGCTAAGAGGCTCCTCGGGAGAGACAGAAGCTTCACTTGGGCAGAGGTGTGGGGGGGAAGAGTGTCCTGAGAAACACTGACTCCCAATGCCTCAGGACTCAAAAGGAGGGGCATTACAAAAAGACACCCTGCTCAGGTGCAGTGTGTGGCCCAGGCTGTCCCCGACTCACACCCTGCTCAGGTGCAGTGTGAGGCCCAGGCTGTCCCCGACTCACACCCTGTTCAGGTACAGTGTGAGGCCCAGGCTGTCCCCTCTTGCTCACCTTCTTGGCTTCCATCAATTGATTTCTGGCAGGCACCGAAGTGTGAGATTCTCAGATACACAAATTGGATTTGAAATCCCAAAGATACTAGCCACAAGCAACATCGCCCTTCGGCTTCTACACACACGCTATGACCACGTCACGCCTTTGTTCCCCACTGCCTTCGCTGAGGGAAAGCAAAAACATATGGAAGATGAGCAATTCAATGAAGAGGAAAGAACAGAAAAGGCTGTCACTGAAGAAAAAATCCTTACTGAAGAAAAAGCGGCCAACGAAGATGAGCAGCCCAAGTCTGAGGAAGAGAGGGAGCCCAGCTCGGTCCAGGAGGAGGAGACCAAACATGAGGCTGCAGAGGACACTTCCATACAAAGGGTAGGATACTCTGTCTGTCTGTCTGTCTGTCTGTCTGTCTGTCTGTCTACATTCCAGGCTAGGTAGCCCAAGCTGATCTCAAACTTACAGCAGTCCTCCTGCCTCATCCCTTCAAGGACCAGGGTGGCCAGCCTGACTCACTTTACCTAGGTTGACATATTCTAAACAGTTCCTAGTTTACTCTGTGAGTAGTAGTAAGCATTAGCAGGTCCCTGGAGGTATTGTCAAGATTTTTTCCTGAGCCAACAGAAGCTCTTTAGAAGCCCCCTCCTTGCCTGTGCCCTGGCTTCCAGCGTCTCTCTCCGCTCTGTAGGAGCAGTGGCTTCAGCCTCAGGCTCTGCAGTCTCATTGGCTGCCGCAAAGCCTTGAGGTCAGGGATGCAGCTCGCCCTGGGATGCAAACTTGCAGCGAACGCTCATGCAAACTGGAGGGATATTTTGTTGCTATTTCTCCAGCACCGGCGGCTTTCTAAGACTTGCTCTCATGTATCTCTCACTGGCTTGGAATTCACTCTGTAGACCAGGCTAGCCTCAAACCCACAGAGCACTTCCTCCCAAGCACTGGGATTAAAGGTGTGCACCACGGGGCACAGGTACTTGGTTACCTTAAAGCCTGTCTCTAGGGCATAGGGAGCGATGAATCAGGATACTCAAAATCCATCTATGCCCCAACCCCCTGTGCACACATCACTGAAAATAACCACGACCCTGGCTGCAGCAGCTTCTGCTGATTTTCTACCTGTCAGGATTTTCATGGCGCGTTTTATGTTAGAACAGCGTTGGACTTGAATGGTCCTTTCTCTGCTCGAAGGCAATTTTGTTGCCACAGCCCACTCGGATTTTAGGGAACCCCGAAACCTCAGCATGAGCACATAAAACAAAGCAGTTCATTGACTTTATTGGTTTATTTTCTTTAAGCGTGTAAAGAGTTAGGGAACAGACCCTGTGTGGATTTAAACTAAAAGTGTGACTTGGGCCCTGAATGGCTCAGGGGCCAAAGGTGTCTGCAGACCTAAATTTGTCTCCAGTGCGTTTATGGTGGAAGGAGGGGACTGACTCCTCATGGTGATCCTCTGACCTCCACACATGGCCACGGCACAATGCATGTGCACACACACACACAACTATCCACAAACACATGTAAATTTTAAAACTTTGAATCATTTGATATTCTAAGAACATGTGGAGAAATCCTTGTTTGAAATACAACAGTTGTATCAAAAAAATTTAAAGAATCTAAGAATCTAAAGCAATAGAGAAAATGGATGTGAGGTGACTTTCCATACAGATAACTCTGTGTGTGTGTGTGTGTGTGAGTGTGTATGTGTGTGAGTGTGTATGTGTGTGAGTGTGTGTGAGTGTGTGTGTGAGTGTGTATGTGTGTGAGTGTGTGTGTGAGTGTGTGTGAGTGAGTGTGTGTGTGTGTGAGTGTGTGTGAGTGTGTGTGTGTGTGTGTGTGTGTGACTGTAACAGGAAAAGGTTAAAGGCCTGCAGGGAAGAGAACTGGAAAACTGGGCAAGGCTGCTGCAGAGCCAGAAATAGCTGATCATTTTTGTCCTTCAAAAATCTGCCAGCTCTCAGGAGGCAGAGGCAGGCAGATCTTTGTGAGATCAAAGATCTACATAGTGAGACTCTGTTCTACATAGTGAACATAGTGAGACTCTGTCTGAAAAAAACAAACAAAAGCTTCCTTCTGGAAATAAGATTCTTTTGTTCAGTTTCATTTCAGCTCTGGGAGTGGTGGCTTTCTTAGAGATCAGCACCTCCTGGTCACTTTTTGATTCCCAGGGAAAGATTGTATCCCGGTCCCTCTGAAGGTCAGGCATGACCACCTGATTGGCTTTTAAGTAAGATAGGAAGCAGTATGTGGATGGGTAGGAGGACGTGGAAATCGGTCCCTGAACCCAGCATCATCTCAATGTGACTAAGAATTTAAAATACAATAGAGAGAAATGAGGTTCACTTACCGCATTGCAAGAGTCACAGTCAGGACATCAGCACAGAGCAAGTAACTGACAAGAGATTCTACACATTTCCTGGCCTGTCAGGGTGTTGGATGATTCTTCACTCTGCAACTAGTGGCTTGATTATAGTTAATATTTGGTGCGAATCTACCAGTGTCTTACATAAGAATTACATTAATTCGAAAACTGCACAACAACAGTTAGAAACCATGTACTTTGAACCATGGGTTGAGTTTGCGAAACTAAAGCGTTCCGTTCTGTAGATAGGGATCAGTCAGCGGGACCTTGTGGGGTTGCAGCTTGCCATTCTGTTAATTTAGGTCACTTAGGAAACAATTTTCAAGAACAATTTTTAGTTTAGTTCGTGGGGTTGTGCCCATGAACGCAGTGTCAGGCGAGGCCAGGGGAGGGCGTAACAGCCGCTTGAGCTGAGGGGACAGGTGAGTTTGAGCTGCTTCATTCAGGTTCTGAGAACCAACTCAGGTCCTCTGGCTCTTTGAGGCTGCTCTGAGCCATCCTCGGCCCCTGGAAATATTCTACATTAACAGCTTAAGCCTGTGTGTTCATAACTACACCGGCAGGACCTGTGTGTGTTCATAACAACACCAGCAGGACCTGTGTGTGTTAGTCTCACACCTGTCCCCGCAGGTGTTTGACTTACTCTTGGAACTTGGAAGGACCAGGCTTAGAGTCCCTTGATCCTTAGTCTTAATGGCCATAGAGAATGTGGCTAAGCCTGTCTGCTTTCTGCTATCATTTAATGCTACCCTGGGCAGTTTCCCGTTGGCGTGATGGCTGAGGGAGCGTGAAGATTCCGAAGGGCATCCTGTGGCGTACCCAGGTAGATAATCAGAACCCTGAAGCAGCAGGCAGTTGCAAGGAGCCTCGTACGCTTCTCCAGAGCTTGTGAAGGTGGGCTGGGAGTTGGGATCGGAAGTACTTTACACTGAGAACGTGGAAAGACGAGACAGGGACATTTCCAGTGTCCTCTCAACACGTTAGACATGCGTGCTGTCACTGTCATACTTTTAGGCAGACAGCACTTGACACTGTAAGGAGGACATGTGTAGGATGTCCACAGAGGCAGAGGAGCCCAGCAGCATCGGAGGTAGAGCCTTTGATGGGTGGAGTCTTGCTCTCTGGTGTCCTCCTTTTTGCCCCAGTTAATGGCTCTGAGAGTTTTTAGCATAGTGCTGTTGCCTAGCCACCCTCTTTGCCCACAACGTTAGACATAAATGTCCTCGGGACATTTTTTTATAGCCCTCTACTCCCTCACGGTGAATCTAAGCACTGTGGTTAGCAGTGACCACAATCAACCTGGCTGTTTCTGTCTTAAAATGTCAATGTAGTTCAGTACTTTTGAATCCATCCTCATTCAGACTTTTAAGAAATGGGCAGACTGCACCCAGATACTCTGCCAGGATGTGACGCAATCAACTAGTTCCCAGGACGACTCCTCCTCTTTGAAGCCTCACCTGTACCCTGTCTGAAAAGCCATACACTGCCTACTGATTTCTCAGTATTCCCCGCTCCCAAACCTCCACCAGGCTGGCCACTGAGCTCTGCTTACAGAATTCTAGGGCTCCTATGGCCTAGGGCTCCACGCTGTTCCATGTTCGTCCCAAACCAGTTCCAAAGCTATGATCACGCAGCCCGGTTGCTTGCGGTGACAACGCTATGAACACAGGGCCAGGCTGCTCGCGGTGCTTGCGGTGCTCGCGATGACAGCGCTGCTCTTCAATATGCATTTTGTGTGTTGCTTTCATTTTTCACTGCTGTGTCAAGATACCAGGCAGAAGCAACTTAAGAAAGGAAGGGATTGTTTTGGCTCATGGCATGATGGGATACAGTGCGTCATGGGAGCAGCAGGATCACGAGGTAGCTATACACAGGGCTTCTGCAGCCAGGCAGCAGCGACAGATGAATGTCTGTGTTCAGCTCTCTTTTTTTCTTCGCTTTCTGTTTAGGTTGTGACGTCATCTCACAGAATCGCGAGTCTATGTTCAGGGTGGGATCTAGTCGAGTTGGGGGTGAAGATTAATGTAAATTGAAAATTAATTCTCTTACATTAAATCACAGTGTAGGTTTCTTTTTCACAAGCTTATTAAGAAGTTGACCACTAGAGGGCTCTTACTACCATCTCTTAATTGATTTGAATGGCTTTAAAAATATTGTAAATATTTTAAAATATTTAATTAATTTTTAAATATTTAAAATAGTTAAAAATATTGAAAATATCTTAAATTATTCTTTTTTTTTCTTTTTCTTTTTTTTTTGTTTTTTTGAGACAGGGTTTCTCTGTGTAGCCCTGGCTGTCCTGGAACTCACTCGGTAGACCAGGCTGGCCTCGAACTCAGAAATCCGCCTACCTCTGCCTCCCAAGTGCTGGGATTAAAGGCGTGTGCCACCACCACCAGGCAACATTTTAAATTATTTACAGCACAACATAGAAAGGGCTAATATGAGTATGGCATAATTATGAGAAATTATTCAAAGTAGTACATTTAAAATAGCAGTTTCAAAAATATTTTATTACCCTGAGGAGCAAGCAGATAGATGGACATGGGTCTTTGAATTGAAAGTTCAAGTTACAAAGTGACTTATTAAGGGACTGAAGTGGCCCGGCAATGTAGCTCAGCAGACAGATGCTTGTCGGGCATGGGTGAGGCCCAGGGTTAAACCCCGGTCCTTAAAAAGAAGCAATGAACAAGTATGTATGAAAATAAAAGTAAATCCCACACACACACTCTAAGAGCCTGCATACACACATATCTGAATGTGCACACATACATTGCACACACACACAGAGGCATACATGTACAAGCATGCACACACTACACATACATGCAAACACACACACATAGACACATACACGCTGTCTAACTCTCAGGTGAAATCTGCTACAAGAAACTCAGTCTGATGTTGCTTTTCTTTGGTTGTGTCTTTTTGGTCCTAGAGAGTGAACCTAAGACTCCATGTGACCTCAGTGTTCTCCTGTTGAACGATCTTGGGGGTTTTGTTTGTTTGCTTTGCTGTTGTTTGTCTGGATTCAGAGATTTTGACACAGGATCTTATGTAACCCAGGCTGGCCTCAAGTGGCTGTGTACCTGAGGATGGCCTTGGGCTTTTGATCCTCTTGCCTTTACCACGGAGTGCTGGGATCACAGACACAAACCATCACTACGTTTTTTGGAGTGCTAGGGGTCCTCTTGCATGCCAGGCAGGCACTTTGCCGGCTGGACCCAGTCTACTGTCTTATCTTTAATGAGCAGTCCTGTAGAGGAACAACAGGCTACTAGATTCTGAGTACACACTGGCACGTGTGCCGAAGCGATTACATATGACGATCAAACCAACAGGCCAGAGACTGTCCCTGAAATGACAGCATTTAGGCTAAGTGCTAAAAAATGCTGCTGCTGCTGCTGGTGGTGGTGGTGGTGGTTTTGTTTTTCTTTTGGTTTGGCTTTTAAGAAAGGGCCTCACCCTGGTCCCTGGGCTATTTTATGGACCAATGTCCTCCAGTTGCACTCAGAGAATAATTCCTGAGAATGCTGTCCATTCTTCTATTGCAGATTTTGTACGGTGAAGAGGATGAGTTCCAAACCACCCAGTGTGAGCTGGAAATGAAGTTGCTGAGTGAAGCGGTCTCAGCAGGTACTCTGTCCCCACCCCTGGTGTGAATGGAGGCTCATTTCACAGAACAGTAAGGCAAGGCCATTGTAGAAAGAACTATGTTGGAAGCAGAAATCCTTCACACTCCCTCTCCCAAGACAAGCAGTGGTAACAGTGTTGCCATCTCCCCAAGCATCTTCTTAGTTTTAATAAAATTGTGGAAGCACATCAAATTTAAAAAAAATCTTCTGTCAATAATCATATTTTTCTATTCAATATTAAGTTATGTATGGAGGAAAAAAAAACATGTTTTACACAAATGACTGATCCCAGAGTACATTGGTAACCTGCCTCATCAATTAAAGTGGCTTCATAATTCAACCCAAACGAGGGAACAATCTTTAAGTCCCTGCTGCTGGTGAGAGTATATCTGATTTCTTCTCTGTACTCACTATTGCAGTGAGCACTCACAGGAACACACACATGGACGCACACACACCTGAACCCTTCACAATCTGCCTGGCAGGTGTCTCTGGACGAAGCCTGCCAAGGTGAACATGATCTCAGGGCCTGGTGTCTGTCTGATGATGTCTGTCCTCTTAACTCTCACTGCTCTTCCTTCTTAGTGACATCAGAGGAACCTGTTCCATGTGCTCTAAGCGTATGTGCCATACTTAAATCTCTGTACCCTTTTATTCAGTTATCTGTATATTCTGAGGCACTGTCTCAAGTTGTCCAGGCTGGACTCAAACTCTATGTAGATGAAGATGTCCTTGAACTTCTGATCTGTCCGGTTCCACCCCATCCCTCACGTTCTTGTATCACAAGCATGTACTTGGCTTTATGTGATGTAGGGATCAAACTCGAGGCCCTGCACATTCTAGCCAAGCACCCACCCTTCCAGCTATATCCCTTCCCCATCCTTGGAACCTTCCTATAGCTTATACCTGGCACGGGTTCCTCTCTCTAGATCTAGGATGCTAGAGTAGGCTGTGGAACTTCTGTCTTGAACACCACAATTCCCTACATCGCGACCCCTAAGTCAGTCATGTCTTCACCATCTAAATTTAGACAGTAGTATTTCTGACTTCTTTTTAGGCCAATAAATCATACATTAACTACATTTAAAAATTAAAGAGTCTAGTTTATTAAACATGCACCAAGAGACAGGTAGTTGCCTAGCTTGACTATCTATCTATCTATCTATCTATCTATCTATCTATCTATCACCTATGTATCTTATCTATCATCTATCTATCTATCTATCTATCTACCTATCTATCTATCTATTGCTTGTTTCCATTAACTTTCAGTGCCCCGTCTCGGGAAGTTAAATTAAGAGGCCCTGCTGTGCCTCTTGTGTGGGAGCAGACTGACAGTAAACACTGCTACCAATCCTTGTGTCTCAGTTCCTGCCCGCTGCCTGCTCTGCACCTACCCGCCATTTCCCTTCCAAACTTTGTAGCACAGTACGAACATGGTGTGGATTTTATAGTTGAAGAAACGTGGCCAGGATATATCAGTCAGCTTCTGTGGGGAGGGGTAGGGTCACATTACCCAGTCCTGGCTAGCCTAGCACTCACTCAGTGGACCAAGCTGGTCTCAAGCTTGTATGACCCTTGCACCTGTAACCCCTGAGAACTGGGACCAGAGGTGTACAGCACAGCTGTCAGCCTGCATATCTCGATAAAGTCTGACCACTGCTCAGGGTAATGGTTTTGAGTAGCTGATTTCGTCTTGGTGGTGGAGGTTGAGTATGGTCCCTGCCATGGTAACTGCAGGTGTTACTTCTGTCTGTACATTTGTCATTAGATTGTACAATTCCCACAGAATTCTCACTCCATCACCTCCCTGAGCTGGGCCTATTTTTGTTGCTTTCATATCATACATGGCCCCAAATCTGCTTTTCCACCATGAACCTCCTACCTACCCTCTTGGGATTTTTCATCTGATAATGTCCAGTTTTAAGGACCTAGTAACTAATCAAACTGTTTGTCTTTTATGGAATATAGTTTTACCAGTAATATATGCTTATTGTGTGTAGCCTCCTACAATGCTAGTGTGTGTTGCAAGCAGAGCTCTTCCTAAGCCTAACACACACACACACACACACACACACACACACACACACACACACACACTGTGCACACCTGCTCCCACTTCAAGGCTGGCTAGTGAGACACTTTGAGAACCTTGTACAAAGTCTAGTAGCTAAAGGCAAAGCTTTAGCGGTCCTGGGATTTTGCTTTTGTATCCTCCCTGATGCAACAATGTTGCCATCTGTTCTGAACCTGCACTGTGGTTCCTTTCAGCACAGCTGCGTCTGGTAGAGAATGTAGTGGAAATGCCAGAAGCCCTGGAACCCAACGAGGTGGACCTGTGCCATTTCTACCCCCTGGGCGGCGTGTACCACTTGGATATCCTGGAGCTGCCCCCTCAGTGCAAACCAGTGAAGGGCTGGGTGCTAGTGGAGGTAGGAGACTTCTCAGGATCCACTACAGGTGAAATTGCTTCACGTTTACTTTGTTTCCCATGACCTCGGCCTCTAATGCACGTTAATCCTATTTTAGGAGAACTTCTTACTCATTAACTTACTTGTAAACAGGGTTTCTCTGTGCAGCCCTGGCTGTCCTGGAACTCACTCTGTAGACCAGGCTGGCCTCGAACTCAGAAATCCGCCTGCCTCTGCCTCCCAAGTGCTGGGATTAAAGGCGTGCGCCCCCCAACCCCCGCCGCTCTTATTTTTTTTAAAGTTTTGTTTCCCAGATATATACTAGTGCCCCAGTCTGTCAGCCGGCCCTTAATACTGCCAGTCTCCATCAGAGCTTAGAGAATATTTTTTCTATTAAGTGGCCAGGTGGTAACCATTTTCACTTTGGTAGGCCACGTTGACTGAGAACCCAAGGCCCCCTCTTCGTCCCTGAAGCCTTTGGATGAAAGTGAGTGTGCGCTCTGCCAGGGCACTAGTCCAGGTGTGCTTATCAGCAGTGGGAGAGGGATAATCCCCCTGCCTCAGCCTCCTGAGTGCTGAGATAGTAAGCATGCACTGTCTTACCTCATTTATTTTAATGTTTAGTAGATTGATTTTATTTTTATTGTGTGTGTATGAGCTTATCCCACCTATGGCCCACTGCACCATAGCTACAAATAGCCCCAAGTGAAAAAAATTTATATCTGGGAAACAAAACTTTAAAAAAAATAAGAGCGGCGGGGGTTGGGGGGCGCACGCCTTTAATCCCAGCACTTGGGAGGCAGAGGCAGGCGGATTTCTGAGTTTGAGGCCAGCCTGGTCTACAGAGTGAGTTCCAGGACAGCCAGGGCTGCACAGAGAAACCCTGTCTCAAAAAAACAAAACAAAACAAAAAAAGAGCATTGTTTTTCTATTTCCAATACCTGGGAAAGAAGCTGAGTGTTCACGGATTCACTCAACAACCCATTCTTGGATTTTGTCAATGTCTCATTTGCCTCTCTGAGTTCAGCCCTTGAATCCACAGACTTCTCCTGCGTGTCCCGTCAAGACTCCCAAGGGGACTCCGTGGGCTCACTTTACCCGCACAGCTCTTTTTAGTCTATTCCATGAGAATATACTTCTGGTTTTCTTCTGGGTTGAGCCCTGCCTTACCTCAGGACTCTGCTGTCAGCTTGAGACCGTCACCCAGTCCTTCCTGTGACTACTCCAGGGGTATCCACACGTCTTTTCTATAGCTGGGTGTCCTTCATTAAAATGTTAGGCCCAGTGACTTTGCGTCCCACTGGAGGTGCTTAAGTGTTGGTGTGAACTTGAAATCTTGTAGTCTTTGGCAGGTCTCCTGATTTCTCTTGTGCCTTGGTTAGCAGTTCTGCTGAACACTGGCTTGTCATGGGGCTTGGGGTGTAGACGCTGAAGAACACATTCGGGAACCTGGCCCACAGTAAGGCCTGAGGTTACGGTTAAGTTTGTCCATGTTTTCCTCTCAGTCACTCATCTCTGAGTCTTGCTATGATGTCTCCTATTCACTCTGTAGACGGCCTGTGACAGCAGGTAGAGCTTGTCAGTAACAGGTGCGTCTGGCTGTGGCCACCACCCTCTGACTTTCCTTATTCTGGTCACTTTAAAAAGATACTCCAAGGAGGACTACAGAGGTTTACATATCCTCCAGAGACCACAGACGAGCCTGACCCAGAGAGCGCCTTCCCACCCATAGAGGTCACGATACAGATCCATGAGAACGTCATCTTCTTCGAGAGGCCTAAGGTCGTCAGGTGGGATGCTGAAGGTACAGCCATCCCACAGCAGTTCTGATACTCATGCAGCAAGGAGGGTAGTGTAAACCATGGCAGCAAGTAGTCCTCCCCTCGCCCCTCCCTTCCTCATCCCTGTCCCCTCAGCCCTCCACTCTCATCTCTCTTCCCTCATCCCTACCCTTTCATCCCTCTTCCCTTTCCCCTCCTCCCTCCTCCCTCCCCTCTCATATCTTCTTCCCTCATCCCTCCCTCCCTCTTTCCTTCCCTCTCTCTTTCACGGTTTTGAGACAGGTTTTGAGTGGCCTCAAATTCAAGGTATAGCCAAGGATGGCCCCAAACTTCTGATCTCCCTGCGTCTACCCCTCAAAGGCTGGGTTAGAGCCCAAAATGCTGGGGCAGTGCTCTGCCCACTGAAACTCCAGCCTGGAACTCGTTCAGTTTACACTTGCTGTTGATTTGTTTTGGTGGCGGGGACTGTGCCTGCCACAGCACTCATGGAGGTCAGATCACAATTTACAGGAGTCAGTTCTCTCCTTCTACCCCACGGGATTTCAGAGATCCAAACTCAGGGTTTCAGGCTTCTCAGCAAGCACTTTCCTGCCACACTGTATCATGCCTGCCCAGAAGAGTCACTTAAAGAGTGACCCATCTAACTATTTATCTTAGCTAAATCACCCACACTAGAGTAGAGAAGAACGTTGTGGGTAGGGCACCGGCTACGCTGGCATGGGACCAGGTCTGATTCTCCAGAGCCCAAGGGGAAGCCAGACATTGTAGCATCGTAGCGTGCATGCGTGTGTTCCTGCAGTGAAGTGAAGATGGGGACTAGAGAACCCCCAAAATCTCACTGGCAGCCAGCCTACCCTGCACAGCTGAGGAGGGGGGATTCTGGCTCAAGTAAGGTGACATCTGGGGACCAACACCTGCGGTTGTCATCTGACCCCTACTCGCTCCCAAGTGGTCTTGAGAGTCTTCCTTTTCTCAACACCGTGTGCCCGTTTTACCGGTTCTGGCCGTGTCACTCACATACCCTTCCTGACTCTGCCCTCACCTGTACTGAACAGTACTTTTATGTTCTGTTTGCTAAGGTCCAATACTGGGCATCTGTTTACATATTGCACACGTCCTGTTGGGTAAAATATTTCTTCGAATCATTTTTTTTTCCACATTTTAATTTGTTGCAGCCCAGACTGGCCTTGAGCTAAGCACATAGCTCAGGCTGGCCTCAAACTCGAAACCCTCCGACCTCTGCCTTCCGAGTGCTGGGATTTCAGGGACGTGCTACCGTGTCCAGTGGTTTTTTTCCCCCCACATCTAAAGTGGCTCCTCATTACTGACCTGTAAGGGGTGAAGCGTGCTGCCTACTGCACGCACTAGTGCACTCCTGTGACTAGTGTCACAGGCAGAGCCTCAGAAGTGGGTCTGGAAATGAACTCCGAGTGGGCTGTACATAGGGATCTCGGTGGGAGAGGTTTAAGGAACGCCTCATTGGATCAGGGCCATGGCTGCCCAGCTGCATCTATCTCCTGAAAGCAAGATTGTACGCTCAGAAATGGCTCTACAGCTGCTTTAAGACAGCAGGGAAAGGGCTGGAGGGATGGCCCAGTGGTTAAGAGCACCTGCTGCTCTTGCAGAGGACCTGGCTCTGTTCTGGGCAGGTACTTAGCCCCTCACAAGCATCTGTAACTCTGATTCCATGGGAGCTGGTGCCCTCTGCTGGCTGCTTTGGGCATTGCATGTAGTAGGTACACATGTATATTCAGGCAAGAATTACATAAAAATAAGTAACAAACTTAGAAAGATCCCTGAAGATATAATCTTTAAAAAATAGCCCTTTATCTTGGCATGGTGATGCACACCTTTAATCCTAGGACTCAGGAGGCAGAGGCAGGCCAAGCTGTGTGAGCTCCAGGCCTAGTCTACAGAGCGAGTTCCATGACACCCAGGGCTACCTAGAGAGAAGAAACCCCATCTCAACCACCGGTCCCTCAAAAAAAAATTTTTTAAAAAATAAATATGTAAAGAGCCTCTGTACAGGGCTAGGGAAGAATTACCTAGAAAGAATGACAGCATGTTTAGGCTCAGGCACATGCGGGTAAGAGGGGCTGAAGACAGGCACATGAACTAGCAAGGGACGGAAACAGTGAACCCAGTGTCCCCTCCTGTACCAGGCAGAAGGTGTGGAGTTTGAACCCTGGAGGCAGTGCTCTCCCAGGGTGGGCGTGAGGAGCTTTTCCACAGGTGTCTTAATACAGAAGACCAATTTGTGCACATTGTGTGTATTTAGGTGTTCTTACTCACTTTGATAGGAAAAATACGAAACTAATGTGACCGTCTTCTGTCCAGATAAACTCTGGAGGTCAGACGGCATCAGCAGTGTGTATTACAACCGAGACGACAGGCTCCTAACCTTCAGCATGGATACCTTGGGCCCCGTGACCTTGATTCAGGATGCCCATATCAACATGCCTTACCAGTCCTGGGAGCTGAGTCCCATCGGCAACAACAAAGCCGTTATAATCGTGAAGACGGTTTTCATCGAGCTCCAGATACACATCAAGGTGAGTGACGTCACGGCCGGCCCGCAGTCAGGTAGCGTGTCCACAGGCCGGCATGGAAGATGTCTCTGGAGCTGTGAAGTTCATCAAGTAGATAACCGATTATGTGTAAAAGCAAGGCTCCAACTTGTTTCCGGGGTCACTAGGTTACTAGGTCAGTCATTTCTGAACGACTGCCCTGGGTGAAACTCAGAATGTCTGATCCACCGGACATGACGTCCACGCCCTAGCCTGTAAGCTCATCTTGCCGAGTGAGACCAGTGCCCTCAGAAGTGTACAGCCTTGGAAGCCCCAGAGAAGTAGATTCCTGTTGGAGGGCTGAAGGCAGAGGATTCACAGCATATTGACCTAAGGGGCTTTCTCAGGCAGCATTAAAGATGACTGATGCTGAGGTTGTAACCCTGCAGTTACTCAGAGTCACTGGTGACTTCTGTGATATGCAAATCTCAGTTGTCTTAGAAACAGCAGGAACTCCATTGGAATAAGGCAGAAAGAGCATGAAGACTCAAACCCACGGGACAGGCCTAATGGAAGATACCTTCAATCCCAGCTCTCAGGGCAGAGGCAGGCAGAGCTCTATGAGGCCCTGGCTAGCCAGAGCGACTCTGTGAGACCCTGTCTCAAACAAACAGTCAAACCAGCAAACAGAATAAGTAGATAAAGCCTCTGTGGTTATTGGGTGACATCTCTGGACTGTCATTGTCACAAATGCCACTAAGACAGTGGCAACTTTCCCTTAGTCTGTTAGTAGATGAATGACTTCCCCAAGTGTACCAGGTATTGCCTGGCCACACTTCCAACCACCGTGTTCCAGAGGCCAGGGGACACCATGCAGGGTGCCAGTCTGATAGGCAGGGCTCACACCTGCTGAGTGTTCGTTCTTGAGTATGCAGGTGGTCAGGTGTGTGTTTGCAGGACGGGTTTTACAGCTCACCTCCTGCGTGTGACGATCAAGCTCTTAAATAAGGTGCAGCCGGGCCAGACTGACGTCCGCTGCAACTGTGAAAGATGTGGTAGATCTTAAGCATTTGCTATGAAAAAAATTTGACTCGAGTCTTGCACTGGATAGAAACTGAGTTCTCTTAGATATACTAGGTTAAGTGGCCAAAACTATTAAACAAAGAGGTTACAGAAGTACCAACTCTGTGTCCCTTCAAAACTGGGCAGTTAGGTCATGCATTAAGAATAATTCTTAGAAGTACAATCATGATCGTCTCAATGGCTGCTATAATTCAGAATGAACAGAGTGCTTTCACATCTTAGAGAGTTCTGAGACACCACTTTGAACCCCTCAGGCACCCAGAGGGAGCCCAGGAAGTTAGTGAGCTTCCTAGGCAACGATGGGGTCCTGTGATAGGGCCTCCAGATCAGGCCCAAGACATAGCAGAAGCATTATTTAGTATAGAGTCGCCTATGATTTCAGATGTGGTCTATAAGAAGACTAGAGGTGGCCTAATAGTTTCCCTTCTCTTCTTGAAATCCAGGAAACCCTCTGCATGTTGGCTTCAGTGAAACTGAGGGGCAAGGTCCGTGAGTTTCATCTAAAAGGAAAATGGATGGCTCCCATTCCCTTCATCCTGGCTTTGAAAGAAGCCGGGCTGAACATCTTCCCAGCTATATACTCTCATTTTTATGTGGTCGTCAACAATAAGGCAAGAATGTAGCTCTCTAAATTTAACATGGTGGGAACCTAGGATGCCGCTGCTGTTAAATCGTATCAGGGAAAACACCAGAAACCCAGGGTTTCTCTCGTCTAATAGTTCCCTCAAGAGCCACAGTGTGGTGAGGGGGTCTGCCGTCTGCGCCATCGCTTCTAGCGAGAGGAGCCCGGCTGCCGCACGTCTTCTTCATTTTCACACAGGGACCACCAGCCCACAAAAACAGTCCTTTCTGGTTTCTCAGCACAGTCCTCACGGCTGCGTGCTGTTCTGTGCTCCTCACAGGGATTTAGCTCATGAGTTCCTGTGTGAATCTGGGCCCCCTAGAGAACAGGGCCTGCGGCCTGTTCTAGCAGCCAGCCCGGCCCCAGAGCGCAGGCACGTGGTAAAGCCCACGGTGCTCCACGAAACTCAGGTGCTCCAACCGCGGAAGGCGCATTTGTAGGCAGACGAGCTCTGTACAGAAGAACACGTCCGCCACTTTCCGGGGCCTTTTCACCTGTCAGTGATTGTGTTACACCTGTCAATCACGTCCTAAGGGTCAGGACATAAATGCATAGGTAGGAAAGGTTTGAGTGACTCAGTGACAGCGCTTACTGTGCTTACTGCCTGGTGACAATATTCTACCAGAGAAAGCTTAATTGAAAAGGTTCTGAAGAGTGGGGCCCTGTGCAGTACTCAGCAGGGTGCTAGGGAGAGCCTGGACCACCTGGTGTGTGGCAGTCAAAGCCCAGGGAAGGAGCATGTGCCCCAGGGGGGCTCCAGGAGGGGGCTCTCTAGGTGGAAAGCACAGCCACAGGCACACCCCAAGAGAGCAGCAGTCTGGCTGGTCTGCTCTGCCCACTGCTAGATTAGGAAGGCTGTAATGTCAGGGGTCAGCTCACAGGGGTCAGAGGTCAGCTCACAGGGGTCAGCTCACATCAGCTTTTGTGGACACTGTTCACGTTAGGGAGTGCACAGAAAGGTAAACCATTGCCTAATTTTGAGAGAACCACAGAATCTGATATCAATCTTGAATCCTTCTGTGTGAAGGACAGGCTACAGAGAGGTCTGGTGGAGAGGAAGCTTGCTGGACATTGTAAGACTGACTGCGCGTATCCACCCTCCCGTGGACAGGTCCCCCAGGTGGAGTTGAAGGCCTATAGGCAGATGGCCCTGATGAGCACGGCCTTCTCGTTTGCCTGGAGCAAGTGGAACATGGTCTGCAACTCCACAAGAGTTGTGTTTCGGGTAAAGTATGCAAAAACCAAGAACCTGTCTTGTCACCCAAAAAGAAAACACCCGAGAAATCAGTGTGTAGACTCCTTCACCTCCTAAAGATGTGAGGTCAGCGTTCAAAGCGCTCTCAAGTTCTGAGTTCTAGCTTCTCAGACCTTCACCCACTACAATACCAAACGCCATGACACTGTGTCTGTGTTGACTCCAGAGCAAACAGGGAAACCACGTGCGTGTGAGTATCTGTGGTTCATGGTCCTCTACAGAGGCCAGGCATTCGGCATAACTTCAGACAGACACATTGCTGTTTATGAGTAGGAAGGACGCCGTCTGTCTTCAAACTCAAGGTTGACTAAGTTTGTCTCTGAGCTGAGTGGGAAGCCAGGGCCTCATACATGCTGTGCACCAAGTGCTCCACCCCCCAGCTCCACCCCTGATCCCCACCCCCGAGCTCCACCCCCGAGCTCCACCCCCGAGCTCCACCCCCGAGCTCCACCCCCAAGGCTCAGCTGATGCAAAAGCAGCCGCCATGTTTCTTTTCTTTGTTGCTCCCTACTTAGGTACTGCCTCCTTGAGAACTGGGTCTCACTGATACAACCAGTGTCTCTGGGTAGGGTGCCCGCCGCTCCCTCAGTGCCCAGAGAGGTACCTGGGCACAGCATCAGCACACAGGTACCATCCGGTGCTTGCTCCATAAGTACGGAGATGTTTCTTGGTTTAAAGTAATTCAGAACCACGGCACGCAGAGTGCTTTTTGCTATGTTTACCGACACACTCCTTTCCTCCCATCACTGGGGAGGCTGAGCCAGCCTGGTCCACCTCACGAGACTCTGTCTGCAAGCTGGGTGACTTAGGTACCCAGCAGCTCCTTCCTTGTGTATGTTTTGGCACTCCCAGAATTCACATTGTCTTTCCAGGTGAGGGAACACATGATAGAAAATACAGAGCACAGCGCCTGGTCGCTCCTCATGTTCAGCGGTGACAGAGCGCAGATGCTCAAGATGAAGGAAGAGAATGACAAGTTCTCCGAGACCCTCAGGGAGGGCACCGAGTTTCACTCCACCTTGTACCACATGATGAAGGACTTTGCCTCCCCAGTGGCAATGGAGAGAGTCAGGCATTCGGACTGCCAGTTCATCGACTCGGTGTGCTACATGCTGCTGTCTATCCGGGTCCTCAGCTATTCCTAGTCTTCGCACCCTGTGTAAAAGCGGCGAACCCTCATACCTGAGAGGAATGAGGTATCTTTCCAATCAGCCACTAAAATGTCCCAAGAGCACCCGGCATTCCAGCTGCACTCCAGGAAGATTTGAATGGTCTTTATTTGGATACATTTCAATAAAGTCTTATGTCTCTGACTCAGAAAGCTCATTAAAATACCCTAGGTGGGGTCTCCTCCGTTGTGAAATTCCTCCCCTGTGCTTTTGTTGGGAAATTAAAACATCTCAGCGGCTGAGGACCCTAGCTTTGCACTATAGTTACTAAAAAGTTACTAAGTTACAAATCTCAGAGGGAAGTGTTAAAATCCAAGGGTACTGCCCGGCAGTCACACTGGCGGAGGTCCATCGTGCCCAAGTCTGGTAAATGGCCATAAGACGTGTTCTAGAGACATCCAGGAGTCCCCTTCCTGTGTGGGTGCAGCCTCCACGGCTGTCTGGAAGAACTGACCTGTGATGATACTTATCAGCGCTGCAAACAGTATGATGAAGAGTCCCGCAAGCCAGAGCGCTTTGTTGGCCCTTCTGAAGGACGCCTGCAGGTCAGCAACCCAGGAAGCCAATGAGCTGCAGCTGTGGGGAGAGCACACCGAGGGGGCAGTCACTAAGCAGGACCTGGACACTCTCCCTCATCCAGGGGACACTGGTCACTTGAGTACCCAATAAGCACTGCCTTAGCTGCATGTTAGGATGGAGCCTCTCAGCTTGGGGCACAGCCTGCTCCCCAACATTGGTAACTCTAGCCCTGTTGCAACATTGTAGGCACTAACTCCTAACATGCATTCTATTCACCTCATCCTTCAGTCAAGCAAAGCAGGGCTGGTGTACTCCCTGCTACAGTCTGTATCCCTCGGTGCTACTGTTCAAACCAAAGAAAGCCAAGCTTTACATCTGCCTCACTAACCTCCACCCTAGCCTCATCCACAGTCCAAACCCAGTCCAATCCCAACCCAGCCAGGGCTTTTACTGTGTCCTTAAAGCAGCTGCTGAAGCCAGAGACTGGCAAAGCCAGGCTCTGAGCCAAGGCTGCCTAGCTTGAGTCAAGTTCCTGCCTGGTGTAACACAGGGTTAGGTGGAGCCCTTCTCTAAGCAGTCTGAGTAGTAAGGCTAGCCCTGTGTCCCCCATCCCCACCCTTGGTAAGCACAGCTTACACTGTGCCGCTGTCGCAGGCCGGCGAGCTGGTTCTCCTCTCAGAAAGGCTGGGCTTCCTGGTCCTCTCTACGGTCTCTTCCCCTGGTGGTTCCGGAGCGTCTCTGGTTCTGCAAATAAGTTTTGACACTAATGACAAGACACCACATTTGCCAAACACCATCAAGGTTCATTCATAACTCAGAGTGCTCAGAAATATCACATTCTAAATGTTAGCTCACAAAGCTTACTGGAATTTAAAAATAACTTTTCTGTAGTATAATGGTGAGTAAGACCCACAAGGGGGAATTCATGAAGAATTACAAAAGTCAGTCTTAACCTCTTCTAATCAATATCATGGATATATGTGCACATCTGTAACCTTATAACACATTTCTTGAAATGATGAATACTTACTAGAAGTTTATTACCATATTTTAATATCTTCTATAAGTAGCTGAGTGCATTTATAATGGAAAATTTTGTTTGTTTTGAGACAGAGTCTCATGGTCAGCCCTGGCTGGCCTCAAACTTGGGGAGGTCCTCCTGTCTCTGTTCCTCAGAGCGAGAATCCCAGGCAGGCTCTTCCACTTTTAGATTCTTTTTGATCGTGTTTTGGACCTGTGCTAACTTGGAATACAGTCTAAGTGTATTATTAAAAGCATCTGAACATATTCTGAATGCTAAGCTATTTAAAGCAAACCACCACTCGAGAGGAGGCTACACTGAGTATATTTTAAATCATAGCCTAAGCAGGGCTCCCTCCACCTAAGCAAACTGACTTTTGTAACTGACGGCTTCTGGTTGGATATGAATTTTGAAATCCTTAGCTCAGCGTGCCCAGTTGCCAAAGAGGAGAGTGTCTAAGGAGGGGCCTGAGGCACACTCCGGTGAGTTTCTGATTTCAGACTCTGTTTACAAAGCCTGAGTGGAGCCGTAAGCACACGGCCTCTGAAAGGAGGCAGTCGGCATGTTCCCCATGTGGCTCACAACAGATCCATCACGGTATCTAAGCACACGCTACAGGATCCTGCGATGTACAAGATGCCTACGTCGTCTCTTCCTGCTGCTCAGGACTAAGAAAGGATGCCGGAGGCACTCCGTGAATGTGTTTCAAGTCACCTCAGATGAAGAGATCCCAGGGAGACGACTTAACAGGTGACAAAACAGAAAAGTGAGGTGGGGTGAGGGGGGGGAGCATGATGGGCACTGTTACTGCTCATCTTCCCTGCTCTGCCTTTCACTAGCATATTTTAACTTGCTAAATTTGGTAGAAATGGTGATGACACCTGTAATCCCAACATTCAGGAGGCTGAGACGGGATGGATTGCTGTCAGTTTGAGGCCAGCTAGGGACACATAGCAGCCCCTATTCATAAAAAAACAAAACAAAACATTGCTTCGCAGAGAAGGAAATGGCTCTCCTTTAGGCAAGGCGGGCGAGTACGTATGTCACAAAGGGGCATGTATTATTCACATGTTATCGTGTTCTGTATCCATTCCTCGTGTTAGCATTCTAAGATGGTGGAGATTTTTTTCTATGGCTCTGGTGATAGGCATGCCTAGATCTGGGGAATTCCAAGGAATTATTTAACTTAAAATGTTGCCACCCTGAGGGCTGGAGGAGCCACTGTGTCCCCAAATGACATTTATAAAACGGTTCACAGTCGAGGCTTTGCCAGCGGATGCCCTCCTCTCCACTGTGCTGAAGCGGCTGCCACTCACATCACGTCACAGACACCCATGAGTCACCTACTTCGAGTCACACCTCTCGTCGTCAGCGTCGGCCCAGGAGTAGGTGCTGATGAAACGGTGGAGGGAGGGGCGGTGCTCACCCTGCTTGGTCCCCAGGATTCTCCTATACAAAGATAACAGCCATACGTCCAACAAAGCTGAACCTGATCCATGCTCTCCCTGCCCACCTAAGCCAGCGCAGAAATCACACTGTCTTGTTTTTTTTTCTTAATCCTTCGCACATCGAAGTAACTCTCATTCCCCGATACAACTACCACAACGGTCAGTTTTCACATCCGCGCTGCTGCTCAGACTCTGAGCGAATCCAAGGTTATTATGTGCTTGAGACCAACTCCCAGCTTGCCGTGGGTTCCCAGCGGGTGGGGACAAGTCACACCTACCAGCTGCTCGACCGCCGGCTGAATCTGTCGTTGTTTTCCAGGCCTGATACCTTCGGAGGTTTGAGAGATGATAAAAGAGGTGCTCAGGTGAAGGAACGATACTACTGTCAGAGAGACCAGTCTGCTTTTGAGGCAGAGGACCTCCCCGTGGACTTACCATCCCCACATTTCCAAGGTTCCTGGGTAAGGAGGCAATGGTCACTCTTCGAAGAGAAGATGGCTACCCAAGAGAGAAACGTGCAGTTAGAGAATTCTAATATCCACTGCCAATGCCGCGTGCCATCACGCACAGCTGTCGGGCAGCCGGACGCTGGAGGATCATACGTAGAAAAATCACCTTTCGGAAATACCTATCCATTCATATTCCATCTCCCTCAACCTTTGATTTATAATTTAGCTAACCAAGAATGAAGCTTCCTGTCAGGCCTTTGATTTATCCATCTCGCGCTTACCCTGTATAAGTTCGTTGAGTCACAACGTGGGTGTCGGCCCTGGGAAACATGTTTACATGTATGACCATTTCCCATTTCTCTATGTCTTCATAGAAGACAAACTGAATTGTAATTTAGCCAAATGCATTTTTCGTCTCTGTTATCTTCACCTCCACGCTTAGAGGACTCCAGCTCAAGAGGGAGTCAGCATTTGCCACATTTATAGCCTCTCCTGTAATTTTTCCAATTAATACATTTAAACTTCGTGGAACTTTTGCTATATTTATTTTAACTAACACAGAGAAAAAAATTCACATACAAGGGGAAATCAGAGGCTTTGAGACACACTCGTGTGGTGTGACGTCTTAATCAGGTCAAACAGCTCTCCTCAAACATGATCAGAAACACTTTTGAAACTCTTCCCCGTAACTTTCTTTTTTACCATACTACTAAGCAACAACACCCCAGGCTCGGCACTTCCCCAACTCTCCCTCAGCCTGGGGTAACCCCCATTCTACTCTCCCTCAGCCTGGGGTAACCCCCATTCTATTCATGAACTCACTGTGTAGTGGAGGCAGCCCCCCGTCTCAGGCTCAGCATTGCTTGGGGCGAGCAGTGTTTTTAGACTTTATTATAAATGAGGCATTATATTTCAACAAACGGATGTGTTTATCGGCCTGGAGACTTGCATGGGAGAGTATTACATAGTATCTTGTAGCTTCAGTAAGTATCACCCACGAATAAAAAATATTTTAAATACAGTAGATAAAGTAAAGGGAATTACAGTGGTGAGGTTCTACCATCGACTCTGTTGCACTAAGCAACTGATTGGGGCATTACTGAGGGGGCACCTCTGGGTGTACCTCTGCAGGGACCTCCTGACTGTGACAACCACTCCATGGGCTCTCCCCCTGCACCACCCTCATCCTGTCTTACTTAGCAACAGGACTTGATTTTTAGACAGGTATGGAGGCGCCCAGAAACAGGCTGTTTGTCCCCACCTCAGTGTCCACCAAGAACAATGTCGGGGGTACCGTGCTGGACTTCCAGGGCAAGTTTTGCAGAGGGGAATAAGTTGGCCTTTTCTCTTGCTTTGGGACTTGACTTTCTAGTAAGGATGCTGCCTGGCTCTGAAGTAGAGATGATAGACCCCAGGGAGAAATCAGGGCTGAGGGCGGTTGGGATAGGGGGTGCAGGGAGGGGACATGGCTGTAGGGGTCTTGAGGGTCTATCTGCTCTGCCACTGTCTGCTTCCCTGGCCCAGCGCAGGTTTAGAGAACAAGATAAGAGAGTGCTACACTGGCCTTCCTCTTTCTGCCAGGCCCTTCTGGCTGACATACAAATAGTACCCTGTACCCCATAAACTGTCTAAACAGGTACACATGTATATATTCATGCATGTGAATTTAAATCAGCTTTGTGATTTACGGTGAAAGGCACATAACTTCAAATACTATCTTAACATTTCATGAGCATTTCAACAACATTAGTTAATTATGAAATCAGCAATTACCTTGGAATTTAGAGAAGACGAACGCTTTTTAATCTGACAGTCATCTGAAAGGAAAAACATTTTCACATCTAAAGTTTTTGAGAATTATTTTATGTGTATGTTTCCACTGCATGTATGTCTGCGCATCACATTGGATCACCTGGACCCAGAGTTATGGATAGCTGTGAGCCACTGTGTGGGTGTCGGGAACTCTGAAAAAGCAACAGGTGCTCTTAACCACTGAGCCATCTCTACAGCCCCCACCTTTCCCATTTTGGAAATCGCACATTCATTTATGTCAAGTAAGAGCCAAAAGTGGGCTTACTAAAGCCTCTGTAGGAGACGGAGACAGGAGGATTGTTGAGTTCAGGACCAGCCTGGGCTATAAAGAGACACTATTTGTTCATTTTCTTTTTGTGGTACCGAGGCTTGAACCCAGGGGCTTTCTACGTGTGAGGCAAATGCTTAACTACTGTGTTACATCTCCAGCCCCAACAATTACCATCTAAACCACTAAGGTGCAAGCCTTTGTTTCTGCAGGTGTCCACAGTGCCTGCTAGTGTGCAGAAGACTATCAAATATTGTTGCCCTTCAAAAGAGGGAACATCATGAAAGAAAGAATTCTGCTCAAAAAAGCTCATACTTTTTACTCAAAACCATTGTGGGGTTGGAGAGGTGGCCCAGTCGTTAAGAACTGTGGCTGCTCTTGCAAAGGACACTAGTTTAGCTCCTAGCATCCCCGTGGACGCTCACAACCATCAGAAGATCTAGTGCTCTCCTTTTGCTTCTATGGGGACTGCATACACATACATACATACATACAGTCAAGAGCTCATGCCCATAACATAAAAATAAATCTTTAAAAATATTGTAAAATGTGCGGAAACCATGTGTTCTCATTTCTCTCGTGGTGGTTTGAATGCTTGGTGACAGGAAGTGGCACTTTTAGCAGGTGTGACCTTATTGGAGGAGGTGTGGCCTTGCTGGAGGAAGTGTGTCACTGTGTAGGTGGGCTCTGATGTCTAATACGCTAAGGCTCCATCGAATGTGGAAGAGAGTCTCCTCCTGGCTGCCCTTGTATCAAGATGCAGAACTCTCAGCTCCTCCAGCACCAAGTCTGTCTGCATGCTGCCATGCTTCCCACCATGATGGTAATGGACTGAGCCTCTGAAACTGTCAGTCAGCCCCAATTAAGTATTTGCCTTTATAAGAGTTTCCTTGGTCATGGTGTTCCTTCACAGCAATGAAACCCGAACTAAGACATCAGTCTTCCAGTCCACCAGACAGCTTTCTGTGCCAGGATCAATCACTCTTTCAAGAATCTAAAACCTCTGCTGCTGGGTGTGGCTTGTTTATCACATCATGTGTGCAGAAGGAATCAGCTGTAACATACCCTGACTAGACACTACAGTCAACTGTAACACACCCTAGCTAGATACTACAATCAACTGTAACACACCCTTACTAGACACTACAGTCAACTGTAACACACCCTGGCTAGACACTACAGTCAACTGTAACACACCCTGGCTAGACATTACAGTCAACTGTAACACACCCTGGCTAGACACTACATTCAACTGTAACATACCCTGGCTAGACACTACAGTCAACTGTAACACAACCTAACCTGGCTAGACACTACAGTCAACTGTAACACACCCTGGCTAGACACTACAGTCAACTGTAACACACCCTGGCTAGACACTGTTACAGTCAACTGTAACATACCCTGGCTAGACACTACAGTCAACTGTAACATACCCTGGCTAGACACTACAGTCAACTGTAACACAACCTAACCTGGCTAGACACTACAGTCAACTGTAACACAACCTAACCTGGCTAGACACTACAGTCAACTTTAACACAACCTAACCTGGCTAGACACTACAGTCAACTGTAACACACCCTGGCTAGACACTACAGTCAACTGTAACACACCCTGGCTAGACACTACAGTCAACTGTAACACACCCTGACTAGACACTACAGTCAACTGTAACACACCCTGCCTAGACACTACAGTCCACTTAATCAGGCAGATTAAGCACCTTGTCTCATCTCAGTGATCTAAATCGATTTAATAAATTTTGAGAGTGTTACCAAAGGATTTTTTGTGCTTTTCTGTTGCTTTTTTTCTTAATTTTTATATAAAACCAAAGATTGATATATTTTTCTAATAAAACCTTAACTTAAGTATCTTATTCTACAAAGTAGCAATATAGTAAAGGAGTATAAAAGAGGAGAATATTAGGAAAGTATAACTATTATCCCTCTCCCCCGAAAATCTAGGTAGGCCAGTCATAGTGGGGCGTAACTTAATCCCAGTACTTAGGAGAGAGAGGCAGGTGGGGTCAGCCTGGGTCCATAAGAGAGTTCCAGGGCCTCCATAGAGAGATTCTGTCTCAAAAGATAAATAAATGAGAGAGAAAAAGAGAGAAAGAGAGAGAGAGAGAGAGAGAGAGAGAG